AAAATATCATAGTGAAAAACCCCCTTCACCATGTACTACATGAACCTCGAATAGCTGTGGTGTGTCAGTAACCATAAATAAGCCTGTGGATTCATTAGGGAACATAGCGGAAGCTCTTCCGAATTAGCATGTGAGCTATGAGCCCAGACAAGCACATTAGGGATTTCCAGCATCCGGAGAGCTTACCTCACATTTTGGGGTCAGGGACAAGAAAGGTCTACCTTACTGAACCAATGCCAGACATTACAGGACAGGTAAACGCATAGATATAGCCACAAAAAAAAAAAAAAAAAAAAGTAAGAAAAACATGCAACAAAAACAAAACAATTCATTTGTTAATAGGACAAAGGTTGCGAACATGATCATTTTAAATATGAAATATATTGATGTATTTATTAGTTACATTGAAATAATATGTAATATTAACAACAGCAAATTAAGATCATTTTAAATATTTATTATTTCTATTATTTATTATTATTATTAACAGCAAATTATAATAAGATTGAGAATATTATATGTTTATATATGCATTATTATAATTATATTCTTGACACTATTATTGTTATATTAAAATGCCTTTATTATTATTATCATCAAAAATTGCTGATTGGACAAAGATTGAGTAAATGGTCAGCAGTTACATTAAAACTACTGTAATATTGTTGTTTTTTATTTTTATATATGAATATATTCTACTTATTATTTTACAAGATCATTTATTATATTTTGATTTTATTTAGTTATATTAATTGCATTTATTTTCTTTAAAACAGCTATAGAGTATACAAATAAAACCAGAGGATTAAAGTTTCCCATTTATCATGAGCTTCTTTTTCCAAACAGACACCCTCAATAATAACATGCTTCAGCCAAGGTATAGCAACAATGAACTGCTAATAATACATGAAAGTGACGAGACATTCTTCTGCTTTAGAGACGAGGTGATATTGTCCGACAAGAATGTAGATCGGTTAATTAATGAGCCATTGTGGATCTTTCATATCTGCTGCAGTCTGTTTGATTTCCACAGCCCCCAGATCATGTTCCTGCACTTTCAACAGTGGCCTGACGCCGTTCTTGAAGCAAACCGGTCCCAAATCCCCAGAAGATTGGGGAATGAAAAGAGATGTAAAGTTTAGATGTGTGGCAACAGCTAAACGCAGGGTCAGGTTTCTTTCGAGCCCTTGCTATATTTAACCTACTGATCTAACACCAGGCAGAGAGTTTAAATGCCACCACTGCAGTTGGTGTGGAGCAGTTGTCGTCCACAGATCTTCTTCAGCACGAGCTCAGCTCCGAGGGTTACACCCACCCACACACGCTCGCAAGGACCGTAAAGGACCTATAACGCTTTCAGAGAAGACACAGCAGAGCCGGTGGACTCTAATTCCAGCGAGACATGGAGCTTTTCGAGACCAACCCCTACTTCTTCGCAGACCAGCGTTTTTACGAAGGCGGCGATAACTTCTTCCAATCCAGGCTGACAGGAGGCTTCGACCAAGCGGGATATCAGGATAGAAGCTCCATGATGGGCTTGTGTGGAGACGGAAGGATGCTGTCCAACGGAGTGGGATTGGAGGACAAACCGTCTCCATCATCTAGCCTCGGTTTGTCCATGTCTCCTCACCAGGAGCAGCAGCACTGTCCGGGTCAGTGTCTGCCTTGGGCCTGCAAGGTGTGCAAGCGCAAGTCAGTGACAATGGACCGACGGAAAGCCGCCACTTTGAGGGAGAAGAGGAGGTTGAAGAAAGTCAACGAGGCCTTCGAGGCTCTTAAAAGGAGCACGCTTATGAATCCCAACCAGAGGCTGCCAAAGGTGGAAATCCTGCGCAGCGCCATCCAGTACATCGAGAGACTGCAAGCGTTGGTCAGCTCCCTCAACCAGCAGGAACATGAGCAGGGAAACTTGCATTATAGAGCCGCAGCTCCTCAAGGGGTGAGTGAAGCTTGGGGGAACAGGGCCAGGTGTATGGTGGGATTTATCAATAAACTTAGATGTTGTCAAACAGGACCGTACTTCCAAAACCTGCACTTATTTTTTGTTCTCAAAGCATGTTATTGGAAAGTGCTTCATATCAATTCAGTGGACACTGTTTTGACATTGCACAGTTTTGTGGGTATTTGATTATCGAACTCTATTGTGTAAAAGAAATTGTGCAAGTGCATTTATTCATTAATTGAAGATGGCGATACATGCAATTTGTATTTTAAATTGAAGGCTAAATGCAGCCTTAAATGCAGCATGCATTGCAAAAAATAAATATTACATTTTTCATTTAAATAAAAATGATATAAATGAATACAATTTTAAATTGAAGACTAAATAAAGCCTTGAATGCAGAATGGATTCCAAAAAAAAACAAAAAAAAAAAAAAACTGAGAAATTCAAATTAAAATAAAAGTTGTCTACATTTAATTGTAAAAAAATGCATTTTAAATGAAATTTTACGTCAATTAAACAGTAAAAAAATGTTTCAATTTTTAAAAGCACGAACACGCCTATATAAAATGTTTAATCAAGTGTGTAAAAGACGATGATTGCTGAGATCAGTGCTTGTTTCTGATGGTTGTGAGGCTGTTGGGGGTCCTGTGGTCGGGTGTGACTGACAGTAGTGTGTGTGTGTTTGCGTGTAACAGGTGTCGTCCTCCAGCGAGCAGGGCTCTGGCAGCACCTGCTCTAGCAGTCCAGAGTGGAGCAGCGCATCGGAGCACTGCGTCCCCGTCTACAGCTCCACCCACGAGGGTAAGACCACCACACCTACGTACACTAACTAACCTGATGACAAACATGAAGGATCAAAATAATGAATTTTACATTTAAATGTGAGGTTTGAACGACTTGCCTGGCAAACATGTGACAGTGACATTTTCCTCAGATCTCCTGAATGACGACTCCCCAGAGCAGACCAACCTGAGGTCTCTGACCTCTATTGTGGACAGCATTACAGGAACAGAGGTGACTCCCGTACCCTATTCAGTGGACATAAGCAAATAAAATGAGGAGGCTGACCCTACCGTTATGTTCAGATCACCTTTCAACGACCATAACAGCACTATCTATGACACCCAAGGCGAATGAAGAACCTTTTAAAAGTCATAAAAGCCTCGGGGGCTTAATTTCCAGACAAATCTTGAGGTACATGTGATTATATTTCCAAGTGTTTCTTATCTCTGTGGGAATAAGAACGAATTTCAGATCAGCCTAATTCCTGCCGAAACTTAAGACAGTCAGGCTGGGCAAATCATATTTTCATAATTTGTCCTTTTTTTTCCTCTTGATTCCTTTATTTTTTCACTCTGTTTGTGTGTGCTATATGCTTACCAACAAAAAAGAAACATTTGTGGGTCCAATGTTTTACATCTGGTTTTGACCAATTTCTGCTTAATTTAAACTAGTTCCGAATGCCAGTTATGTAAATATGTTCCTATTTTCTACAGAGTGGTTTTGTTATTTTATTTTGTATTTTTTCCTGTGTGTTTGGAATAACTTATTTGGACTTTTATAATAAAGATTGTTGTGTATTTGTAAATATTCATTTCATTCCCTGTCCCCTAAAGGAAAAAGAAATTATAAAAAAAAATATTAAAGCTACACTGTGTAATTATTTTAGTTTATTCTTAGCTAAAAACACTTAGTTCTTTCAAAAAATATATGTGCTCATTAATGTATATTTACTTCGTTCAAGTAATAAAGTATTCTCGTGAGTGTATAATTTGCCATTGAAATTATACGGGTAAGGGGTTCTAATGTCAGTCGCCATGTTGCCCTTCTATCTTGAAAGTACATTAGCCTAAGAGGGACATACCCGTTAATTCAAGCTTCGCCTTTCGCGTTTACGTTTGATTTAACACTCATGGACGAGGTCGAACTGGAAGCCATGTTAATCTTGGACTACATTGGCCACCGTAGGAGTTAAAACGAAATCGGAATTGAGAGGAACAGAAACTAATATTCACTGGATGGTCATATACATTTTCACTGCTAGATGGGGATAAAAATCACACAGTGTAGCTTTAAGTACTTTCCCAGCATTACCATTTATCTCTAAAATATGCTTTTGTTTAGGCTTGTGTGCAAAAAAACAAAACAAAACCAACCCAAAAATCCAATAAATGATTTATAATACATAAGGTAAATATTTATTTTATATATTCATATATAATTATTTGTGACAGATTTTTACATTTTAAAGTGAAAAAACAAAACAAACTCAAACAGTATCTGACACATACTATACAAACAAACATCACAATAAAAGAAAAAATCTCACTTGTTCAACCACATGCGTTATGTGGAATCTGCATCTATTCTATACAGAATTATATACATAAATCATCTATTTACACACACATTAAACCTTACATGCACACAAAAGAGAACGAGTTTGTGAGAGAGCTAGTGAGCAAGGGAGAGAGAGAGAGAGAGAGACCTGCACCTGTTTACAGTTCACATTACTGTCAAGAGCTACAGAAACAAATTAGCGTAAAAATGACCATCACAGGAGAACACGCTGCAAAGCAAGAGGCTTCAGTTACTCCACCACTGTCGCATCAGGGAAACGTCTCGGCATTGTACTAAAGCTTGGTCCTAGTCAAGGCATTTTTTTTTAGCAAGCCACTAAAGGATCAAATCGATGTTCAACGAGCGTGCTGAACATTTAAGAGACATTATTATAAATGAAACAGAAACAACTAAACTGGCTGTGAGAGGCTAGGCACAATTGGCAGACCGAGGCTTAAAAAAAAGAGCAGCACACCACGGGATTTCAAGTTCAAGTGTTTGCGTGGTGATATATTCTTTAGACCTGTGGTAATGACGATTGAGAGTGAGTAAGAGAGGCAATAGATGCTACAGTGATTGTCAAGTTTAGTGGCATGCATGCTCCACCGGACGCCCCAATGCCAACAGTGACCCACACAGCACAAACAGGATCATTCATTTCAAAGATGGGGTTTTTTTGCGTATAAAATGAAAAAACAGTCACTTATATTAATCGTTTTTTTTTTTTAATAGAGAGCACTTCTTAAAGTAAGAACATGATTTGTCAGCATTGTGTAACACTTAAAATACACATACACACGTTTTCACACACAGTACAGTAGCTGCCACAATAGCACGATACATCCTGTGACTTATACAGAAAATATTGTCTTAAAAAAAAAGAAGAAATGCCCAACGCACTCATAACTTGTTTGGTAGGTATGTTGCTCAAGAATCATTTGCTCCCATAGTGGTTCAATTTCAAGTGACGGCACCAAAAGAGATCACATTTTCTTCCCCTCTCCTCTCCTGATGCTAAGTGAACTGAAGTCAATTGCTTTCCCTGATGCTTGACAATATTTAGCATCATGGCTTCATACGATCTCGATGTCCTGGAAGTGTGTGGACAGAAACTCTACGTGGATAAGCACTGCTGATGTGAACACAAACGCACGTTTCTTCAGTCAACACCGACTACAAGTGTAACACCCTTTATAGCAGACGGAGCTGTCTAACCGACAGGAAACAGTCACAACTGAGACTTTAAAACTCATATAATAATGATATATTCATCTCGATATACAAGTCTGATATATATTTCCATAAAAAACATAATCGCATAATTTTCTGTTTTTCATATATACATAGACACTGATTAATAATTTGCATAACCAAAGGGAAGAAAGCCTTATACAGTAAAATGCCAATGGCACACCCAAAGGAGCAGACTAGCACTGACAGACTACAGGGCCAAGTACACCAGTTAAGTACGACCACCACAAAGACTATATAACCAGGATTACTGGGAAACGACTGATATGACGAGATTTCTCCTTTGCGGCTGCAATGCGTTCCATGCGCTCGAGAGTTCAAAATTCGTCTTTCTGTCCCCCTCTATTGCATGGTGTCCAAGAAAGCTCTGGAGTGGTTCAGGACAGGGGAGGGGTGGAGGTTAACCCTTCCCTCATCTTTTCAAGGTGTCCCCAGATTTTGGCATATTTCATTGTCGAAAGGCCGCAAGCATGTGTCCGTACAGGTAGTGGGAATGCACTGGCAGGGAAATGAGAGGATACAAATCACAAGAAATCATCAAAATTGTTCCCGGTTCGAGCATGTCAGGGCATAAAACTGCAGTCAGTATACCTACAAATTATCATATCAAGGGCAAGTAAATAGAAATTATTTTATGGAATAAATCACGCAAAATTAATTAACTTAACATTTAGCTTTTGCGTGTTCCTTTGTAAGGGGTTACACACACAGAACGCATGCATTTTTAAGAGTGAGATGGAGGGCAGTGGAATAAAAAAGGCGTTTTTTAAAGTTTGGGCTTTCAACTCGGCAACCTAGTATTTTAAAGGGGTCATGAACTGGCTTTTTAAATTTTATTATATTGTTTTTCTGAGGTCAACTTATGATGTTCGCTTGGTTTTTACATTCAGAATCATCAAAATGAATAAGTAAAAGGCTATTTTCTACCCTAGTTTTGAGCCTAGCACAAAAACGCTAGGTTTTTATGGTCGTCTTGACTGAAGACTTGGAAGTAAACGCCCACTGCTGTGAGTGGATAACAGTTTTGCATATTATAATGAGTTTCAACTCACTCATCGATGCACACGGGGGAAATTGTTTTGAAAACATCCAATGTTAATCGGAATGATTCGCCCATAAATGTTCGACCCAGAGTCCGTGTGTTGCACCATTCCTGTCAGATCCAATGTAGAAGGCACAGCATGTTTTTTTTAATCTTAATCGGTCTGCAAATCCAGTCTTGTTTACAAAACAATCTTCAGTGAAATGAAGCGAACAATTGGACAATGTTTTATCCTCATCAGCTGGAACGTCAAATAAAGTTTAACCATGCATTCCTATTGGAATCCAGAGGAAGCATATGCAGTGACTGTCTTCTTCCACAACCAGGCACTGCACAATATTTTGTATTGCTCGATAGCTGATTTGGTTTGTCATCACGAGGTAGGCCAATGTAATTTAGCTATGCGTGTAATGCGCGAATCGGTGGGCGGGGTTAAACCGGCCGCGTTGAAGTAGAAGTTGAACTTCTTCTGCGGGGGTGGTGTTTTATCCTCTTTGACGTCATATTTCCCCACTTTGAAAAACGAGTCGCTTGCTGAGCTTGGTGTAGATAAAAGCTTTTATTGGACTAACAAGGACGTTTTCAGTTCTGAAACTTAAAGAATATTCTTATAATATGATGACCACTTAGATGTCAAAAGCTCAAGGAAAATTTGATTTCTCAGTTCATCACCCCTTTAAATGATGTGTCATAATGGAAGATGCAACAAACAATACAAGACCTAAGTGCAATGATCACACAAAATGCAAAAATACAGTGTGTATGAATTACCCCTAAGTGTGTTAGGGGTCATTCAGATAAAGCATATTTTTGTGTTTAAAAATGCCAGATGGAGAGCAATGTAATGATACAGGATCTAGAGAGGCATTTTTTCATTTAACAACTTTTTTTTTTTCAACAAAAGACGCAAGCACAACATCAAATAGTCAATGTGTGTATGTTTACATAGAAACCCAATGGTTAAGCAATGCAGTGGAGTGCAAATATGCGTTTTTTAGTGTCGGACAAAAAAATGCAAGATGCCAAGCAGTGGAATGAAAAAAAAAAAAGCTCTTTTAAAGGTTGAAACTCTTTTAACTTGAGTGCTGCATTTTAGAACGGCTTGCTATGAGCGAGAAAGATGTGAGACGTGAGCGCAACAGTCAAACACGTCAGGTTATTGAAAAACAAGAACAAGTGTTCTGTGTGAACGGCCCTGCAACATCTGCTTTGAAATCGTTTTCCAACATTACGCTACAAGTTCTGACAATTGAGCTTAACTTGTATCAAACCCAGAAGAATACTTAATAATTATCAAATGTGACACATTTTAATACATCATAACACAAATTAAATATATACTTGATTAAATCATGTAAAGACAGAAAATGTTAATAGTTCAGATGATATTTATTCAGTCTCAAATAATCCATGAGACTGAATAAATATAATTGAAAGGACATTGAAAACGAATAAATAACCGAGCGCAAAAATCCATTGCAATCTTCATATAAAGATGTCAGTGTGTTGTTATGCAGTTGCTAATGTGTTCTGATTGGTTGCTAGGTGGTTCCTAGGAGTGTCGAAAGGATTATATGAACTTTCATTCAATTCTGTTTAATAGAAGCTTACGCTACTTTGCAATTAAAACCCTTGAAAAGAAACTCAACTGACCATTCATGTACAAAAAGCAGAAGAAAAAAAGAGAAGCAACAAATCTGAGTATCATTACCTAACCAGATGCGAAGACGATAAGTTTCTTTTCCATTTTTATCAGAGTTTTTATCCTATCCAGCTGCAACGGCGGTACTCGACGATTATATTTTAAAAACGGTTTCTATTTTTCTGAGACTTTTTTTTTTTTCAGGAAACAAGAACGTTCAAAGATTGAACTCAATGCAAACAAACAAGTGGTGTGGACAGACTGCATGACGCTTGAATCGCATCGCGTCTGGTTAGAAGATGGTGTTAAACATCTCTTACTGAGCCATCAGAGTTTATAGACGAGAGGCTGAAGTGAACACCTTACCTGTTAGTGTAAGTGCAGTGGTTAGTAAAAGCAAGTTAGCAGGAGTAAGTCCTGACAGCTGAGGGGTCTAGTCTCTGCGAGGCCGGGGGACCGGCTGCTGAACCACAGAGACACAGAGGGGAGAAAACATGCAATGACATAAACTGTGACCCCGACCTGTGCCATTCATATTAGTTACCTATAACACATGCTTTCACAGACAATACGTATTCATGTTTTGCAATTAGTATCATAAGATATACTGTAAAAGAGTTAGAGAAGGCACTAATTGTTAGTACAGTACTGCAACCATTAAAGAGCAACGTGCTAATGGCAATGCCGAACTCTTTTCCCCATTGTAAAACACCCTGCCCCCCTTTCTACCTTCTGGTTGCAGCTGTCTCCTGGGCACAGCAGCCATAGAGGCGGGAATGGACATGGTGTTGAGGCGGAAGCTAGCGGGAAGAGTCTCTATGGATCCCGGCAACATACCAAGACCCTGGCCGTCCCTCGGCCTGAAGCGCTTACGCCACGACGGAGACCTTCGGAATGACTTGTCATCACTCTGATGAGAAGGATGACATCACAACAACTGGGTTCAGATCTTGTTCAAAAGCATGACTGCACACACATTCGTATTATTTCAAATATGGCAACAGAGAATGAATATGACAGCACAACAATATAGAAGCTCCAGCTAATTTTCTCAATATATGGTGAAGAAATGTCCACGTTAATGATGAGCAGAGCAATCCTGGCTATTTCTGCAGACATACACTCCCAGCTCACAAATGAAAACTATCTGACATTTTAAAATCACATTTCAAGTATTTCGCATTTTTTATAATTAACATATGCATTTATTATCTTTATATTATTATCTTTAGAAAAAGATGTCTTTATCTTTATATTATTATCTTTAGAAAAAGTTGTTATACGTATACAATAAAAAAAATCTAGTTTGTTTTATTTTGAAAAAGCTGTTGCACAGAAAAAAAAGAAAAATGTATTTTATATATATAATGTTTCTGTTTCACTTAAAAAAAGCTGTTACACAGATAAAATTAATCAAAAATGAATATATATATATATATATATATATATATATTTAAACATATTAAATAAAATGATTGGTACTTGACATATAAATAAAAATATATCCACCCCATGATTTCTATAAAATGACTAAATAAGATTCCTTATCATGTAATCAAAAATAATTGTGATTACTCCATCCAGACCAGCGCTGACTAAGTAACAGATAAATTATGAGTGTTGTTCTTAGCTCTAAATTTTGCAATCATTATTCCCCATTAAAAACAATACAGTTAAAACAAAAGAAAAACCATAATGTATTACCATGACAATATTTTGTTACATGCTTTTAACTTTATAAGGAAACAAAACCAAGTGGACAACAGTGCATTTCCAGCTGCATTGCAAATGGGTCATGAAAGTAGGCTGAAATCCAACCAGAATCCGAACCATCACCCACCTCTTCCAGGCGCCGGTCAGTTCCCAATGCTAATAGGTTATTGAACTCCCTCTCCAGAATCTGCCTGGCCTGGAAGACAGATTTTGTAAAGACCCTCAGTATGCTTAACCACCATATCACATAAGTGAGTTTTATATGTTAGAAGATCTGTGCAGTCCTCACCTGGGTGTTTTGCATGGGGATCTGTAGAATGAGGGCCAAGCTGCTGAAGTCAAATGTCTCATCTAGAGCAATGAGAGCTCCATGCACGCCACATTCCAGCAGGTTATTACAGTATTCCTTCAGACCGATGTTCTGAATCCACTGCATCACGTGATCATTGGTCCACACCAGGGTATCTGGAACAGACAGCGGTACATGCATTTGCTATTACCTTTGCTAGATACAAAAAGCGTCATTGGTTTTACATTAAACTGACTCATATTACTTGCATTATAAAGCCATATTATAAAACATGTAAAATTGTTGAATTTACAACAACAACAAGAATATCCGGTTATCGTGATATAAAACGATTTCGGTCAGACCACCTCTAACCCATGCAGCAAACATTAACAAAGCAAATCTTCGAAGGGGGCTGTGTTTACAACTGTACTGGAAATATCTGTGTTTAGGTAATCGTATATGTGGAGTGTGATCATTTTGCACAGCTGGCTAGCCCGCTTTCTGTTTGTTCAATCCTGTGCGTAAAGTGTGTGTGTCTTAAGCAGTTGGTGCGTGTGTCTTTAGCTATGAAGATGAAAGATTTTAAAAAGCTGTGACAGCTGTGTCAAGTTCATGTGTTATGCTGAAGTTCAGCCGGGCGCCGTCCCTTTAAATGGATTTGACACTAAAAAGCTCAGCTGTTGACCTCACACATTCCTGCCACCGAAATGCAAATAACAGGTACGGCCACTAGATAGTGCTCTTCCCTTCATAAGTTAGAAGTAATGAATCCAGAGAGTGCAATGATAATTCCCTCGTACCTTTGATGTCATGTTGGAAATTCTCTCTTCTTCGCTCCAACTCCTTCCTGTCATAGTTCAGCCTTTTTAAGCACATGATGCCATAGTGCAAACTAGCCCTGTAAGGATATAATGAACGTATAAACGTATTGTATGTAAAGTCTACTTCACACTGCGGTTGTTAAAAATGAGCAATCACTGCGATAGTTTACCGGTGGAAGCTGTCCACCATCTTGAGATGTGTCCGCAGGTCTTTCTTAGTAAGGTGGTCCAGCATACGAGCGTCCACCAAACACTCCATGAAGTAGCTGCGGTACTGAGGCAGTCCGAGACTTGGCAGCCACTCGTTCCCAATCCACTCATGGTTCATGTCACCATATGCTAACGTCTGAGAAAGAAAAGATAAATTATTCTGCTGTGCCTCTGACAACCGGATTTAGTTTGTTTAAACAGTCATTTTAATTAGATTTCACATAGAGCAAATACTTTTATTAAATTGATATACAATATGCATGTATACAGTAAATAACTATATAATAAACCAAATGTGTTTATATATAAAATATTTATTTATAATATTTAGTACAGAATTTACAATATATAGCAGTATTTATATTTTATTTTAATTTTATAAATATAATATGCAACTATTTACAGTAGTTATAGAATTTTATACTTTTATAATTGTCCATAATATAATAATAAACTTAGATTAAATTTGAATGATAATAATAGTTTATGATATACATTATATATTTAATAATATACACTATAATAAAATAATAATGAAAAGATATTTATTTATTTCATATCATCGTAACTACCATATTTGAAAAAGTTTACCTTCCACATACAGTGTAACTGTATTCATCAAATTTCCAATAAATTATTATTTTAAAATCACATTCCATTTGAAGATAATGCATTCTTTCTAAGCCATAAACCAAGTCAAGAACAGACTTTGAAAATGAATGCTTAATGGAAAGGCAAGTGAAAACCACAAATAAGAGTAAGTGGACGGCTTTTGTTTGGTCAAAGACAGCCAGCTCTCTCACCTGAGCCCAGCTTCCTTCCTCATTCTCCTGTCAGTCAAAGGGTGACAGCGTGTTAGAGCACAGAGGAGACAGTGTTAGCAATGCTCTCTTCTAGCTGAATAGCTCACTTAGCTCAGTTAAGTCGGGAAATGATGTGCACACCAAGCAACAGCACCAGTGCTTGTTACTAGGTAACAATTATTGCAAATGCAGTTAAAAATGGATTAATTTAGCAAAGCAACGAGACATGAATCACACAGAAACATGCGAAAAGGTTTAATAAGCGCACTCTTTAGGTAGATTGCAGGGCAGAGGGGGGTGGGGGTAGAGTCAGGGGCAGCAGGCTGGGGGTTGTGAGGGCTGCGGAAGCGTGGCATATGCATGGCACCGCGGGCACAAGGGAGTCACCCAGATGGACTAACCATTTTGGTGGAGGTTGCCATGTTTTCCATCTCCTCGTGAGTCACCCACACATTTCCGGAAGACTGCACGGAGAAACAGAGGCACACACACATAAAAATGATCACACATTTCATATACCTCATAAACACCTTTACGAGTGAGTATTTACAGCAAAGTAACTTTGGCAGCAATGTTACTACCGCCCCTGGGAAACTATTTTCTATGTATGTAATAGGCGAACAGATGTCTATATTAAGCTGTTTAAATGGGGAAAGACCAAAATCTCCAAAAGTGTTTGTTAATTTATAAGTTTAAATAAAATAAAATATATATTCAATATTGGTTTTTTTTTACACACAAACTGTTGTTCAATTATTATTATATAGTATATTATATATTTTGATAAAGTTTTTAATTATTTTTATATAAAAGATTATAACAATAAGCAAATAAAAAAGCTAAAAATCATGATTAAAATTTAAACAACAATTTTATAAAATATATGTTTCAAACAAAATGTTTTTTTTACATAAAATGTTTCACGTTGATAAAAAAATAATGATACAAAAACTACATTAAAATAAACAAAAAATTGTTACATAAAATGTTTCATGTTGATAAAAAATAATGCCAAAAAAATTATATTAAAATAAACAATTTATCTCTAATTTAAAATTATGGAGGAAAATTTTGAGCAAAGAGAAAGTCGAGACAGAAAGTCGGAAATGATTTGGGAATGGGATTGGGACATATTAAAGGCTATACTGCAACCGGCAACTCTCAGTTCCGACTTTCACATATTACCAATAAGCCAATAATGTAATAAGTATGTTTATGCAATATTGTTACAAAGACAAAGGAAAGGATCTGCACAGACTAATTTTTGAATCATAATTGTTTTCAGTTTGAGACTGTATGTGAAAATGAGCAGTTTAGGAGCAGGCATCTTACTGTGCGTGAGGTGAGAGGAGCTGATGGACTCGTCAGTGACACCATTTCTTGGATGGCCAGTCTCAGCTTCAATCGATGCAGTGGGTTACTGATGCCGATCTCTCGCTGAATCTCCGTGTCCGACAGAGCCGACATGATGGCGCCGCTCTTCACATTGGCACGGCACGCTGCCACGTACCAAGCTGGCATGCCCACCCACAGCTGGAGGATGTCAGAGAGAAGACCGTCAAGATGCATCTTGCTATCTCTGTCATCATCAGAGCGAGTAAGTAATTATCCTAATTATTGTCATCCGAATCCCCCCCCCCCCCCATTGATTTTATTTGTGTGATTATAATCATGAAGATCATGAGTGCTGTGCTCATTACTGCGCGGTGGGAGGGATTGTGGCTGATGTCTTTGTACCTCGAGCCAGGAGACCACAGTGGGGCCGTCCCACTGAGCAAAAGGAAGCCCTTTCCTCCTGGCATCCTCCAGTAGCTCATGCCTAATAGAAGACAAAGAAAGGTCAGAGCTGAGAGGAAATACAACCCCAGAGACATTGCATCAGCATAGAGTGAAGTAGTTCAAACATATGGGGTTTTCACCACCCAATGTTCCGTACAATCTCTTGAGAGAAGGTTGGCTGATATCAACAGATATCTATATGTTTTTTAAGAAGTCTCTAATGCTCACCAAACCTATATGAATTTCTTTCTTCTGCTGAACATGAAGGAAGATATTTCAAAGAATAAGTGTACCCAAACAGTTGCTGGGTCCCATTGCATTTTTTTTGTGTATTATTGTATAATTATTTTATAAAAAAATAATAGTTTATATTATTTATAAACTATTATATTATTTAGTTATATTTAATATTATTTAGTTCTATTTAATATTATATTATTTCATTATATTATTTATAAACAATTATAAAAAAGTAATAAACATAACAAATTTATTTAGATTTATTGATAGCATATGAGAAGTTTGTCTGTTTTCAATGTTTTATGAATTTTGCAACATGGCATCATGACTTTTGTGTAAACATACACGCCACTTTCAAGTCAAGTGGCGTGTTATCTATACGCAGTTTGAGCTATCCGCGTGTATGCGTGTATGTCCACGGCGTTAAATGTCCGAGTGATTCCGCGTGTATGTACATGCCGTTAAATTTCCGAGCGAAATAAAGCAAAATGTAGATCTACATCTGGGGACTGATATTTTTTTTTCCTAGGATGTTAGGGGAACACTCATAAATGCTATTAACCTCAGTGACGGGTAGGTTTAGGGATGGGGTTGGGGTAGGTCATATATTTATATATACAGTAATGTAACGTTAAGTCAACTGTGTTGATAAACACGCTGAAAAGTGATTATGGGTGTTGATAGCATGTCAAAAATGGAAATACGAATTGGCGTGTCATACATACGCCATTTCAAGAGATCAGTCTGGAATTTTGAGTAAATGTTGTGTTTAAGTTCAATTTAAACAACTACACAGGGTACTCGCTTGACATTCTTTTTTTATTAGACTGCAAAGGCTATTCAATTTATTTTCCTCATCTTACACAAGAAGTACATTTTGTTCTTAGCACAGTGCCAAAGAATGGACACATACACACACACACACACACACACACACACACATGGCAGGTGTTAATTAGGAAACCTATCTTTTTCTGTCACCCTAATGGTCAGGGGACAGAGATAAGATGTGGAGATGAGGACAGACTCAACAGAACGGTAAATTACACTTAAATGAGGCCCTGTTATTTGCCTACTATTAAGCGTTATTTGTAACTTGTTTATCTGCAGGAAATGGCCCTTTGCCATTGAATTGATTGGTCATTTGCTTTAATTGAGCCGTGTAACTAGGTAATAAGGATCAGGTCAGATTATTGAATGTCTCGGTGATTTGGTGTGCGTCAGTGTGAAGGAGCTGTATGAGTGAGAATCACAGAGGAGGGAAGACCTACTTTTTCTTCATCCTGCGGTCTCGCTCTGCCTGTGTGCCCAGTTTGCTCAAGGTCATGGTATCTCCAATACTCATCTCGAAATCTGTGACACAACATATTAAAATACAGATACTGTAGTTAAGGAGTATACGATCTTGGACTGCATTTGGTAAACAGACTGCATTTATATAGCGCTTTCACAGACCCAGTGGCCTCCAAAGTGCTTTACATTTTACATTCACCCATTCACTCACTCATTCATTCATATACCGACGGCGGTGTCAGCCATGCAAGGCGCCAGCCAGCTCATCGGGAGCAGCTGGGGTTAGGTGTCTTTCTCACGGACACCTCGACACTTGGTCAGGTGGAACTGGGGATTGAAACCTTTCGGTTTGTAGACAATCTACATGAACCACTGAGCCACTGCCGCCCCAATTACTTAGTTATCTAAAATCTAATAAAAACGAGGATTTCCTGCGTGTCATGTTCATGGTACCTGGAATGACGGGTGGTGTCACCTGGCCGTCCCTGCTCGGAGGCTGATCAAAACGCGCTTTCTCCTTCTTGCCAAAAAGACGGCCAATGGAGGACTTTATACCCTTCTTTTTGTTGCCTCTAAGCAGAGAGAAAAAGAGAAAGTGAGAAAAAAATTTAATTGTGTGACTTTTAGCATCATAATAGGTGTTTACACAGACAGATTTGTGGTGACAAAGCAACCGGAAGTCCTAATTTATGGTGGAATAAGCAACTATTAGCAATAGCAAATTCACTTCATTTTATGAAAATAAGAAGTAAAGCAATGTGGGAATTGCAAATGGGTTTAGCAGACAGTGATCTTTCAGCGTATACAGTTGAAAAGGAACAGCAACAATGGTGAGGCTTGGAGACCTTAATCACTGTCAGTATATTTTTTGGGAACAATGGAAAGAAACGCCAATATGCACATAAACTGTAAAAATTCTCATTAACATATGCGCTCAATTTTTGACGGATTTTTTTTTAGCTGATAAACTACGAGAGAAACATTTATTTAATAAATCTCTCAATGCGCAACAAAAAAACTCACTTGACTTTGCTTCAAAAGATCATGGGAGATGGCATAACTGTACTAACCAGCTTTACTACTGTACTGTACTATAGCTGTACTACTATGCCTGAGCCAATGTCTATATATCTGATGTAAAATAGAGTTAGTGTTTTATAAAACTAAAGAGGATAGAATTATTAGTGTGAAATGGGTTGTGTAATAGGAGTTAGGATAGCATGGGTGGTGTAAAAGGGGTCTGTGCAATATGGCTTGTCCTAATATGTTGTGATCACTGTTATTGTCCTTGCTTCTCTGTATATGTGCATAGTGTGTCTGTAAGTATTTGTGTAACATCTACCTGCTTGGGGGTCTGCAGATGGAAATTAGCTTATGGCTATAATCTGGCATATTTACATTTGTGAAAAATGTTAATTAATATGTATTGTCCCTTTTGTATTTTTCTACAAAAAAAATAAAAAATAAAAAAATAATAATAATGTCTGTCATCAAAATGAATTGGTATAATTACCTTCCAGAACTGACTTCCATTTCCCAACGCAAGATACTGTATCATGACAGCGTAAATTGTGTTTTGACTGCGTGGTCTGGGCCGCAAGTAATTTATTCTGTAGGAAAAACAGCGCTACAGTGCAGTAGCTTCCATTTTAATTACAGATATTCTGCACCAATTTCGATGGAAGTGGCCATTTTGTTCTCTTGAACACATTGGATGGAAACAGTGTTTAATTTGCAAATTTGGATGAAAATTAGTGCGGATGCATCACAGTGTCATAAAATGAAGAAAGAAAAAAACAACAACAACATGTAAGACTGGAAACTGGTTAAAGAGAAAATATCTGACCAGTGGCCTCTAAAGACAATGGCAAATTAACATTTGACCCCCTACCCCCTTCCTCTGAGCATCTTATCTATATTTTCTCTCGCTCTCTCTCAGTCAGTAACACTGAAAACTCATACAAGAATATACTGTATATGGTTTTAATGTGAAGATCTTTAAGGATTGTTTAGTATCATTTTAAATATCTCAGTGTGACTGGTAATAATGTCTTATTCCAAAAGAAGTAAATCAAAAGGTAATAAAGTTGTAAAATGCAAATTACAACTAAGCAAATGGTTACCTACTGGTAAATTTCCACTGGATCTTACATATGAAATGAGGTCTTTCTATATAAGGAAAATGCAATTTGAGTTCAGGGCTGCATTTTCTGTATCAGATCAGCCCATGATGCTGTCTTCAAGGCTCAGCATTCATGTAGTTAATATGTTGGGTAAAGTTCTTTGTTCTAGAAACATTTGATGGTTTCCATTGATTATCTTGTGGAATTGTAATAATACATTTACCTGACATAATAAATTGTTATATTTGATTATTCTAACAGACTTTGACTTTATTTTCATTAGAGCTAAAAGGAATAGTCAAACATTAACGTCATGCACAGATATCATTGTTAAACCTTTTTTTCATTTTATGAAGTAAGATGAAACGAGTTAATACATAAGATTAAATGTGTTGCATTTAATTAAAAATCACTTTGCCATGGGAAAGACAGAATACGCATGAAACCTTCGCCTCAAATCAAACGCCATCTTTGGATCGATTTTGTGGCCCTTTACAAACAAAAAAACAGTAAGATTGCACGTAGTGGTTAAAAACATTCATCTGAATGTTTGTTTATTTGTATAAAAAAAGAAGTGCAGGGAAAATGCTTAAAACCCACCCTGCGTGAGCTTCACCTTATACTCTATAACATGCACGATCATTTCTGTTTGTATCATTTTTATCTGCCTGCCCTGCAGAGAATTGCTTTGTTATTCCTGCACTCTCATTTGGATCTATTGAAGCCAGTTCAATCATACTGAAATATCTCCTCCCCTGACATCACCATAAATTTGTGTGAAGCATTACATTCTGAAAGAGTCTGGCTGCTCCGAGATGCCGTTTAACAACCTAACAAGGATCTGGAAGTAGAAAGGACAGAGGCAGACTAAACAAGAGCACATTAGGTTTGATTTCTCGCGTTGATTCAAATCAATGCGTATTAGTCTGAGAGTGCAGGTCTTATTTAAATTAAATTAGCCAGACTACAGAAGTGTGATTTTTATTCGACAATGCCCATGGTAGTTTATCATTGAAAACATCACACACAGCTAAAACAGCTCAAAGAGCTCACATAGAAGAAGATTCTCTAGAGAGAACATCTGTAAGGAACATCATTAAAAACTCAGCATCACTGATGGATGGCTAAATGCCCAGCAGGTAATCTTTTTGTTCTTTGTATAAGTGTAAGATTGGAAAGTATTTAGAGACACTGGGGCTCATTTATCATGTTTGTAACATAGAAACGAGCAGAGAAATCATCTTACTGCCAATCCCATCGTACGAATAATCGGACGTTGATAAATGTTTGAATATATATATATATATATATATATATATATATACTGTATATATGCACACACACACGTTTATTTAGCAAAAAATACTGCAAATGAACTTACAGCATCTTTGACATTATCTTTCTACATTAGGGCATGTAGATGATAATACAATGTTCCATTTAAAGCAAATAATCTGCACAAGGTATAACTTTATTAAAGAGCTGAAATTTAGACATGCAACTGTGTTTTAGACACAAGTTATGATTGACGTTTTTGGCTCAAAAATCTGTGTATGTGCGGGGAGGGGGTGCATGACACACCTGGAGGTGTATAACAGGGCAAATGTGACTTGCATGTGACTTGAACAAAGGCAAACTGGCACTAATTAACTACTTTGTAGATCCATAGTCTCAAGAGCAGTTGAGTGTGTGTGGGAGAGTCTGTGCCTGTAACAAACTCTCATCTGTCCTCAAGTGTGCCTGTTGGGTAAATTATGTCTCATCTAGTTCAATCAGAGAGGGATCTATTAGCACCTGAGACGTGATCGTCTGTGGATTTGTGTGTGCGTTTACCCTCGGCCATCCTCAAGGCTTCCTGTTAGCTGAGCGAAGTTCATTTGGTCTAGTCTGAGACTTCGGGGGGAGGGAGGGGGCGACGTCTCACACTTGATGGTGGCTTTGTCCTCTCGGGCCTCCACAGGGGACTGAGACAATCAAACACACACACAAACAGACAACATCGTCACAATACACCCTAACATAAGCAAAAAGCTAATGACACCAAATCTTTCCCACTCCTCTGAACAGAAACTCATTTATATACTGTACTTTGTCACCTGCAAATAAACACACACAGAGTCACTTTATTTACAGAAGCTACACACACACACTGAGTTAGAACAAGCAAGCAGTCATTTAGAGATGAAGACACACTTACAGCCACTCTCCTACGGTGTTTCCTTAAATCACTAGGCTGAAAGTGTTAGCAGGAAGAAAGAGACAGAGGAAAAATACAGGGTGACAGATGATTAAGTGTTGTCAGTGTTGGAAAAGGGAGATTTAACAGGTTTAGCACAAATAAAAGCATTGCAATGTGAAGCAAGGATCACCAGGGTCATGATCCCCAACTCGTGGGCCGCTGAACCGGATGTCAGTTTTGGTGTGGATCGGCCACTGACGGGAGGCGATGAACTGGCCAGAGAGAGGGCGGTGACGGAGGTGGGGATGGAGGTGCGCGGGCGCAGGGTCACATTGAGCCCATCCATACTGCCGCTGTTCACTCGACTCTCAATCTCATCAGCCCGGAGCTCTGCTGATTCCCTCTCCACCTGGATCATTCTAGAACAGAAGAGATAGAGATAGAGAGAACATTCAGTACATGGACAGCAAGAACTCAAACGTCCTACAAAAAACACACACATCCCTAGACAGCATATTCTCTGAAGAATACACTTCAAATGCAAGCCAAACTCAAGTGTGTCTGAAGAGCAGTAAGCACATCTCCCAAGCTTTTGTTGGTCATCTTTTCATCCAGGAGGAAAATCTTATTTCTGTGCCACCAGCCCAAAACCAAATGGAACTGAAAAAACTATATATATGAAGAGTTCAGATGCAAAAGCCTCTAAGTGCCATTTGAAATTTTCTTCTAAAATGATCATTTTGATCAAGCTTGTATATTTAAGTTCAGTAATTTCACTTAAATGGCAATGAAGATTACCTATTAATTGTCATTTAAGTGAAATTACTGAACTTAAATATACATCGCCGAATCATCGGAAGTTTCTTCACTGCAGGTGAAGAAACAAGTGAGGATCATAGGGAAAATGGCAGATCATGGAGACAAATGTTATGTTCCAGGCTGTGCAGGGGATGTGGGGACTTTTCATACCTTTCCCACAGAAAATAAATGTCAACAGGTGTGGTTGATGTTTATCTAGAAGCGGATACCTCAACAGTTTAATTAAAAAAGTTATTAGTTTGCTCTGCCCATTTCACCACGGACTTATTTTCTAACCCGGGACAATATCATGCAGGCTTCTCTCAGCGTCTCATTCTGAAGATTCCATATAATTTTAATTGTGTCTATTTCATTAACACGTCAGGGGCTAACTACGTTAGTTTAGTTGGTCACAGATCATTTTAGCTCACTCAATCCTTCTAGCTAACGTCACATTCTCTACCACATAAGTTGAAGCTATTTATTTGACAAGGCATCTAACGTTAGTCCATTAGTTAAAATGTTTTAATTTCCGAAAACTGACGTATGATTATTTTGACCCTTCCAAATAAGGTAAAAACAGAATTTTTCATTCCAAGGCTAATTTCTAGAGTGGAAAATGGACATGTAAAACCATTTTAACATTTTTAATGCCCTTAAATAAGCCACATATACCTTCTATGTAGATATAAGAGACACATTCGAGGGCACATTCAATAATTAATTTAGCATAATTTACTGCATTTGCTATAGTAAGTACTTGTAAAGTACTTATAAGGTGATACAATATTCAATGTCAGCTATACCCATTTTTTATATTTAAAGTTATAAATAAATGTATCCACATAAATTATGTAAATAATGCATTATCATCCAATTGCATGTCTTATGTTACATCTTAAAATGAATTATAAGTGCATGATGTGGAAAAATAAATGGCTGTATATTATAATATATTACAGCAGTGGCTAGAATTCATTGTCAAACCATAAAATGCACTACTAATATCCTTATAGGCCATTATGTATTCAGCTTTCATAGAAAGGCCATCAGGACTCTGCTTACTATTTATATTTATTAGTATTCATGCGGTGGAAGGGGAACTTGTCTGTTGAACCTCATGTGTTTAACCCACAGCTCAGCTCATGAGACAGCACTATCTACACATTTCAGGTGATAGCTCTGCAATTCTCTGGCATTTAAATTCATCCACAACTCAGAATCAATTTGTGTGATGGGTAGATTCAGCTTACAAACTGTTCAGCTTATTGCCATATATGACAGATGTTCTACCGCCAGCGCTTTGTGCTTCTGAAAGGAATCCAGACAGCTCGGTATCAGGACAAGCTTCAGAGGACTGTTTGGATTTAGACTGAAGTTTTCGGCCTGCCTGACAGTTTCTGTTACCGTAAGTTATATCTGCGGTCTGTCAGAGCACAGAGAAGCAGAGGAGGTAATATTAAAAAAAAAAAAAAAAAAACTTTCACAGTGTGATATATATTTCATGCACTTACTTACATTATCCCAAAAATGTGTAAATCCAGAGAAATTCCAACTCTGCTCTCGTGTTTTAATAGGCAGGTAAGCAAATATATAATGTACACATACAGTTATATTGCACATTGTGTGTACTTCAGTAACGCTTTTTTAACAAGTCTGGTGAACAAGTCTATGGCAGTGAAAGTAAATATAGTATGTGGTGCACAAAAATATATAGCCAATACTTTCAAACTGTGGATTTGTTCAAATTTACTTTTAGTGCGATTGTTTTAAACGTGTAAAACTACGCAGCATTAACCCACCAAAACATTTGACAAATAGTTACATATAAGTAACAGGCTAAAATAGCATTACATTTCACTTTCCTTTGCAGAAAATTCATTACGGTGACATAAAATGTCAAACGTACAGGTAACTCCATGTCCCAGTTTTGCATGTTATGTCTTCCTTTAATAGTCTCTATTTCTAACCTGATTTCCTCATTGATGGCATCCAGCTGTTCTTGAAGCATGAGGGCAAGCGTCTGGGCGTCTGAGTGCCCGCTGGGGGACAGCATATCGGCTGAGCTGAATATAGTCTCGCGGTCTTCATCATCCAATTCAGACAGCTCAGTGTCGCTTCCCATCAGGTGAGTCCGGCTGGCCCGTAAGCTGGAAGGTTGAGAGCGATCCCAATCCTGCTCCACCATTGGCAGGATCTAGGAATAAAGACATAGATCAGTGCACAAATCAACATTTGGAGGATTTTTTCAAATCAGGCTTCCAGAATTTAGTGTTTCAGTAAGATCTGGTGTGCTAAAAACATGTTTTATTGTGGATTTGAGAACCCGGAACTTACAATGAACACATCCAACGGGGCAACAGAAAAGAACAGAGAGAAAGAGAGAGATATGACTGAAACAATAAACATTGTTCATGTCTGTTAGTTTAGAACAAAGATTGTCAGTGACTTGCACCAGTTATACAATTGCTCATACTTAATACATGCTAGTACAGAGAAGAGAACAGGAAGTTTTGGTTAAGACAGCGACAGAATGTGAGATGTGTGACATTGACACCTTCATCGGTTCATCCCTGAGTGCCACCAATCGACCTTTCTGAGCCCGTCGTATGACCCCTGTGGAGGAGTAATGATCCCCCTGACCTTCCACCACTGAGAACCGCAAGTCTGTGGCACTGCCAACATGAGACCTAATACAGCAGATAGGGAGACAGAAAAAGAGGCTCAAATACTTAACTTGGCATGTTTACAGATATATAATTATTAAAAAAAATAGAATCATCATTTTAAATCTGGATGTCACCTTGGATATGTTCCGTCTCCATATGCCCCGCTCCTGCGCTTCAGATGATCGAGTTCGGCCCGTAGCTTCTCAATCTCCCCAATGAGCCTCTCCTACACAGCCAGAAAACACTTGATTAGTCCAGCAATCTCGAATCAATCTAATTCTTTTACAATTACAAGGAAAATTGCTTTTACTGTATATACTCAAATTGAGAATTAAAAAAAAAAAACATTTAAATTAGATGTTTTTCAAAATACCTTGCAAAATACATTACTGTTCAAAAGTTTGGGATTTTTTTAAGTAATTGATAATTTTATTCATCAACGATACATAAAATGTATCAAAAATGACAGTAAAGATATTCATAATGTTACAAAAAAAATCTCAAATAATCCTACAAAATATTAACACAAAACATATAAAGAAGCTGTTTTTAGCATTAATAATATTTGTCAATATTTAATGTACAATGTTTAATGACAGATATACAGTAGACTTATACACTTCTTTATACAGTGATATAAAAAAGTCTTGATGTAATAAGACACTTTATGCTACTCAGTTCTTGCAATTGCAACATGTCTGACTGTTGTTGTTGCTTTGCATATCTTTGTGATATTAATGAGCAGTGGTACCTTATTGTGATGAAACTCCTCCAGTTGTTTTTGGGAATTCTCCAGATCATGGATGAGTGAATTCTTTATGGGAAAAACAGAAAAAAAAACCCCACAGGAGAAACAAAGTTGAGAATAAGCTTCAAGCAGCATGCAATAACCTGCACACCTCTCTCTCTCTCTCTCTCTCTCTCTCTCTCTCTCTCTCTCTCTCTCTCTCTCAAATTCAAATTCAAATTCAAAAAAAGCTTTATTGGCATGACAAAAAATACATTTTGTAATGATTTGGAACATTTAGTACACAAAATATTAAAACTGATATCATAAAACAATAATAATAAAATGAACAGATTAATAAATAAAATAAAATGGATTTAGAAATCATCTATATATATATATATACATAAAAAGAAAAATATTGAACATTATATACATGTGTGTAGGTCTTAGGCTGTGAGTGAGTGCGTGTTTAGTGTATGTTTGCTGGTTTCTGGTCGTCCCTCAGGATGTGGCAGGATGCTACAAATTTTGCAGTTATATTTGAGCATTTGGCTTCTTCGCCAAGAATGAAACAAAGTTTTTGGGTCGGATTACAGGTGTTAAATTGGGGAAATATATTATTAATTTTGGGGTAATAATGGTCTCTGATGTGTTTATATTTTGGGCATTCTGTGAGGAAGTGCAGCTCGGTCTCCGTCACTCCCAGGGTGCAGTGCGGGCACAGTCTGTCCTCACGGGAGAGCCAGGTCTGTCTGCGCCGGCCCGTCTCGATGGCCAGGCTGTGCTCGCTGAGTCTGTACATCGTCAGGGTTTTCCTGAGTCTCACATCACTCACTGTGCTCAGGTAGTTCGCAACGGTGTACTCTCGATTTAGTGCCGAATAACATTCCAGTTTGTGTTGGTTTTTAATGGTGTTTGTCCAATGGGTGATGTACTTGTCTTGTTCTGTGTTGATAATTTGTGCGGGCCGAATGTGTGTGAGTGTGTGTGTGTGCTGAGGCGAGCTGATCTCTGCAGGAGAGAGCCCAGTCAGTCTCAGCACCAGCTGGCACAGGGGACTCCTCGCTACGCTCAGCTCTTGGTGTTTTAGGGCTTGGTAATGGTATGTGTTGGGGTCGCTTGTCTTTAGGTGTTTCCAGAATTTGATGGCTCTTTTTTGGATGTTTAGAAGGAGAGGGTATTGGCCTAATTCTGCCCTGCATCCGTTGTTTGGTGTCTTTCTTTGGACTTTGAGTATTCGTTTACAAAAATCTAAATGTAGAGTTTCAATTGGATGTTTTTCCCAGTTTAAGAGATCAAATTTGATAGAAGGACCCCACACTTCACTGCCATATAAAACAATTGGTTCAATTATGGATTTGAAAAGTTTGAGCCAAATTTGGATTGGGATGTCAATTTTGATTGATCTTTTTATGGCATAGAAAGCCCTTTGAGCTTTCTCTTTGAGTTCATTCACAGCCAAAGTAAAGTTGCCAGTTGGAGTTATTTTCAGGCCGAGGTAAGTGTATGTTTTTGTGCTCTCGATGGGTCTGTGTGATAGTGTGAACGTGTGTGTTGGTCCCTGAGATCTGGAGCGTTTCTGGAACATCATGACTCTCTCTCTCTCTCTCTCTGTGTGGTGCTTCAGCCTGTCCCTTCACATTTGGCCATTCGGTCTATTCTGTCCTCTCAGCTTACAGCTCAAAAGAGAAACGAACTGGGCTCTATTAATTCAAGCTGAATAGGGAACCTTTACATCTGTTTTTCACAAGCTATTCCTTGTGCCATTTCAGTATAAGCCTTCTAGGCCTTCCTATATAGCCTTGCACTCTCGCTAGGGTGTAGGCAGAGTATAAATATGGACATTTTGCTTTACTCATTTCATTAAAAAAAAATATTGAATTTTTTTCTATCATATATCTAATGCATTTGGGTCCGTTTTGACTAGGAATTTGTACTTAATAATATGGGGAAAAAAATCCAGTTTTTAGTATGAAAAAAAAAAAAAAACTTTGGATGTGTTAAGACTATTAAAATATGCATTGTTTATTTGTATATATTTTTTCAGATTAAAAATAAATAAAAATAACCATAAAGATTTTACAAATTTTTCTTTCGGGTCCATTTTGACCCACAAGTAGCTTGGGTTTCCCTATACTGCCTTGCTGCAGCGCGATTTTATTCACCCTGCTAGGTACCATAGGTAGGTAGTCTGGATACCATGGACCAAATTTTCGCCTCATCTAGGGAACCAATCACAGAATGGGGAGGGAGCAGCAAGACGATGACGACATCTATGTGACACACTGAAGCAGTTTGTTTATACCTATAGATCCAACATGGCAGCAGACACGAAGTTACCTTTCAATGCAAGCGTGAGCGGCACTTGAGCAGCACGTCAGCGTAACTACATCATCACTGCAGCTGCAGACACGCAAGAGTATTCACACTGGAAGCATTTGTATAGTGTCAAAGCAGTGGCCCCAAAGCTCATAAGTGAGCAATTCTTTACAAAGACAACTATACATTTGTTTTTAGTAATTGGTCATTTATAACATTGATAATCTTGAAAGTTTGTAATAGGGAGATGTACAACATTCGCATATACTGTTAATGTTAAACAACAAAACAACCCAGAAAATGGCTCCAATCTATAGTTTCGATCATACTTTCGATGTGTTTAAAAGACTGCAACTCAAAAAACAAAACACAAATAAACCACACACTCGGGTTTGATTTGAGTTGTGCTAGCCTATGTAGATGTCTGTGTGCTAGTTTACTTTAGGTTTTTTTTGATTATATATAATACACAAATTTTACCCAAACTGAATAATTTAAAACAAGTTTTTACTGTTTTTACAAGTTTTTAAATATTTTAAATATTTAAATATATAAAATATTTTAAATATTCTTCTATAAATATTTTTGAGTCTTTATTTTCTTTATTTGTCTACTCTGTGCAGTTTGGGCACGTTTTGTGTGAAATCATATTTATTTTTGTCCATCAAACGTGTCCTTTCACTTTAATTGAGCGCGAGCAGTGCAGCAAAAAACAGATTCGACGCCGAAACACCCGCTTCACTGCTACTCACGTGCTGCTCCTGATTAAATTACAGCTTTTATTTCTGAAGATTGAAACGTGTATTAAAAACACTTTCATTTCTGAAGATTGCTCTTAATATCTTGTTAAATTAATAAGTGTGTACAACAGTATAGACCATTTTGCAAGATGTAAACACTGGTCCAGAAACACTTCCTGTTTCAGTTCGTAACTGTCTTCTTTATTTCACATGTAAAGAAAAAAAAATCTTAAAGATGTTTGTTTAACTTTTTGATTCAGTTTTATATGTTCTGTTGGTTGTATTTTATCCCAGCTTTTATGTAGTGTTAAAAAACTGAAACAGGAAGTGCTTCTGGACCAGTTTTGTTTACATCTTGCAAAATGGTCTATATGTGCAGGCAGGCATGGTAAAATCCATACCTTGTCCTCCAGCGCAGCCATGCGCTCCTTCAGGTGCAGCTGAAGGCGTTCATTGGACTCGGTGAGGAGACGGTCCACAGTGTCAGAAAGACGTTTGTTATGCTCCTCATTCATCTTCTCCCTCTGTCGAGCCTAAGAAAGCGTGAGGGAGTAAATAAAGAAGAGGAAAAAAAAAGGGAAGTATGAAACAATTTATTTTAACAGTAAACAAGATGTTTAGAAGAAAATGTGACATGGGATGGCTATAGGATTTTTTTTTTCTGATGATATACTGTATGCACAGTATAACCAATAGAGGGCAGTATTACACCCTAAAGCTCTGTGAACATATTCCAGGAGTTTTACGTCAGATTTTTAAGTGTCGTTCGTGATGTTAAAACAGCTGACTCTGGCGGTTTGCATTTTGATTCAGAAAGTAATACTAACTTCTCACATATTTCTAAAGGTGTGTATTCTGTGATGATCCCTCTTGAAAATGAATAATGACAGTCCTTGTACTTGAATGCAGGGGTGATGACTTTTAAACACAGTTGTGGTGGGATATGGGCACTCAGTTGCCTGGCAACACAATCTTAATTTTCTTTTGGTGGCAAACAGCCTTTAAAATGTAGTCAACACAGATCTTTGTGACTGTCAGGGGAAGAATTCAGACTTAAGCTCAGTCTGAGGTGCATGTATCAAGGTTTAATTAAGGCTGACTCTCTTTGAGTGCTTTAGGTCATTACAATCATCAGCTCACACACAGGAGAAAATTAACCATGCATGAATTATTCAAAATCCACATATAGCAGCCAATTACAGCTCTGCTCTCACTGGGGGTGGGGAAATTCATCTGCAAGATGAGCTAAAAAACAGAGCAGCAGTGGTGGAGGAAGTACTGAATCCCAGTACTTAAGTAAAAGTACAAATAAACAGATAAATATTTACTTTAGTAAAAGTAGAAGTAACACAATGACAACCATACTTAAATAAAAAGTAAAAAGTACCTGATTTTAAATGTACTTTAAGAAGTAAAAGTACTTGCATAACAATTCATTCTCTTTATGTCTATTTTTTTTAAAACATTTAATTCTAACTCGTTCCACCTAATACTCCTATAATGATGTTCAATAATTATGGAAAAAAATTGTTGTCACCATTTCTGAAACAAGCTTGCAATTAGGCAATATGCACATCATGCTTATCCTTACTATATGTTAATAACTATGTTTGGCAGTAAAAGCGATTAATTTATGGTGTAATTCTGAACCTCTTGGCTTGCAATAATCATAATCAAACGTATAGGCCTATTATACACGGTGCGTTTCCAATGCACATAAAAACAAATTTTTGCGTATAAATTGCACAATAAACACACTGCGTGCGAGCCGCATTTAGTGTGACCGGGTTGATATATCTATGGCAACCAAACGTCACTGGTGAGACAAACGTGCAACGGACGAATGGTCAGATTACGTTTTGGCAGGGGAAAAACTGATCAGAAAATGTAATGAAAATGTAACAGAAGTTGTAGAAATGTAGTGGAGTAGAATGTATAATAATTGCTGCAAAATGTAACAAAGTAAAAGTAAAAAGTATGCACTATTTATTCTACTTAAGTAAAGTAAAGATACGTGAAAAATGTACTTAAGAAGTATTTGTACTTCGTTACATTCCACCACTGCAGAGCAGCGGCATATGCGTGTGTGTGTGTGTGTGTTTGTACAGGAGTGCTAGCTTAGCAATCTTTGTATCCTCAGTTTCTGTGAGAAACACAAGAACGGGCTAAGCAGCACAGGCTAATGTCCCTACTGTGAGGTCAAACACACCGCCTGAAGGCCTGGTCAAGGCCGATTGTGCAACAGGCAACATCTTCACATCTTCATAAACACACACACGTTAACTATCTAATTAGGACCATATACTTAAAATGTATAGCTGCTTTGAAACGGTGTGTATTGTGAAAAGTGCTGTACAAATAAATGTGAATTCAATTGAATACATTCAAAGTTACTACTAACTAACCTTGACCCAAACTACATGAACGTGTTTTTTTTTAATAACATTTTTAATACATTTAGCATAAAATAATGCAAACTGCCAGGGACTAATTTGTCAACATTTCCACTAATTTCCACTTTATTGACTTCTGACACTGAGCTAATAATGAAATAAATAAAAAATAAATAAATATAAAAAAATAAATAATATATTTTATTTAAAAATACATTATAATTTTGTATTATTCATTATTGTAACACTTTACAGTAAGATCCCATTAGGTAACAGTTAATGTATTAACTAACATTAACCAATAATTAGCAATACATTTGTTACAGTATTTATTAATCCTTGTTTACGTTAGTTAATAAATATAAACCTTCATTGTAAGTTCAGGTCCAGTAAATGATATAAACAGATAAAACATTTGAAATGAATTTTTTTGGAAGTATTTTTATATATTTTTCTATTGTTAGCTAATGATAACGTACAGTATGTTTTTAATACATGGACATTTATTGTAAGTGTTACCTACTAACATTTTATATTGTATAAAATACTACAAACAATATGGCTAAACAGACTTGTTTAATACTGTCTAATATCCCTTATTCCAACCCTTTAACCTATCCATAAACACAACTCAAATAAATCTTTTTGCTATTTTACATTTTAATTTTTATAATTTGTTAATTTAGTGAATCTATTAACCCTTTTTCTTAATAGGAACCATTTGAAATAGGTATTTCGAATTTTGAGGAGACATTGCGGCCACACATTCACACAAAAAACACTGGTGCCTCTTTATAGTGTTCATTCTTATGTGCACTTAAACAAATCAAAACCACACATAATGAACCAAAGCCATTCACACTTCCTCATTTTCTCCCTCCCATCATCCTTCAAGCAATCTCATAATTTCTCTATCAAACATTCACTCTCTCGATCAATGACACACTCTACCATCCCATTCCCTTTAGGTGTCCTGACCCCCAACCCAGTCCTCACCCTGCCCAGCTCTTGGTTCTTCTCCTCCAGCTGGGCCTCCAGTTGGCGCAAACGCTCTTCGATATTCCCATGACGCTCCTCCGCCTGTAGGAAACACTGAAATTAGTATAAAGAGAGCAGGGCAAAGACCTCCAAGAATAAGACACTTCACCTTTAAGAAGAAAGACGTTTAGAAATTGCTTATATTGTATTGGTTGGAGAAATTTACTTGTCATATATTTGAATAAACCATATTTAAATGAAAATTTGTCATGAATGTACAGTCTTTTAAGTGTATTGTTGTACAGTTCAGCTTCTCTGACTAAGCTCTATAGACCAATGATGGCATGTGGTGTGTATATTAAATGGGATCTAAAGAAGGATGTTGGATATGTATCATTAGGAGCATGAGGTGTGTGACAGGATGCCACTGACTGAGAATAACAAAGTTGCCATTTTTAATTAGCTGCATTAGCGAGACAATAAACAAAACCCCACTGCCTCTCTGCCACGCTGACAAGACATTTGGCTGCCTTGTCATCCACAATTCCAGCTGATGTTCGGATGGAACGGGACTGTGACCGAATGATGATTCATTCATTAGGAGATGGAAGCCTGTAAAAGAAATATCTGTTCTTCTACCTGTGCATGTCTGATGGCTGATGCAATAGAGTGCTTTATCACGAGCAGTCCAGCTGTATTTTTTGCAGAAATTAGGAATTGGAACAGATAAAGATAAAGAAATAATGGCAGACTCAAACATGCATGAGCACCAAAACTCATTGCCTGATTTCTAGGTCACAGATCTGACCAAAACAAATGGTTTCAATCAGTGATCCTCAAATGGTTTTGCTTCAGGATCCAGATTTTACATTGGACATCAAGTGGAGATCCACCACAGTAAAAACAAACCAAACTTGCTTAAAGAAAACCTCCATATATCAGAACTGCACAGGCCCAAAAATATTCAAAATTGATAACGGTTTAATAGGAAGATATTCGAGTTTTCAATATTTTTCCTTTTGACTCTTTCAAGGTGTCAGAAATGCCAACTTCCTTGCAGCAGTTTGTGTGCAACGGAGGAATTTCTTCTACTGTTTTGACTCTTTTACACATTTTACAAGCTCTTCACAAGTTCTTAGCCGAAAAATACCATCCAACAAAGAGTGCATTTAGCCCAGCACAGAGCATTGTTCTGGATGTTCGATAAGTTCCATCGCAAAATATACTTCATTAAAGCCATTTTTTTGTGTATCCATAAGTTCTTAAAAAATGACAGTGTGAACCAGGACTAAATAGAAATGTACTGAAATGACTAAAACAAATTTTGAATTAAACTAATTAAAACTAAATAGAAATATATACTAGTATATATATATATATATATACTACATATACTAACTAGTATGCTTAAAGGGATATTCCACCGTTTTTTTCATATTAAACTATGTTATTCCTTTAAAGGTGCTCTAAACGATGACCACTTTTTTTTTTACAGTGTGTTTAAGGGACAGGCAGCTAGCAGATAGTGAGAAGATGTTTGCTGTATGTGACAAAAAATGTTTGGGGCTAAAAAATACAGTTACTCGAGCAGTGTGACACAAAATAAAACGCTGCGCTTTTCTAAGCAAGTAAAATGGATAACTTTGGATGGATAAAATAATAAATGGATAAAATGGAGCACTTCGACTCGGCGCAGTAATATCATCACTCGTGAAAAGTCCCCCCCCCCCCCAACATAGTTTAATATGAAAATAAAACGGTGGAGTATCTCTAATACGTTAACTGTTTAACTTATATGTATCTGCTTAATATGCATTTGCAACTCAAATGTGGGTCTTGACCCTTCACAGAACGTATGTTTCTCTAAATCATGTCTCAGTAGGCTACAAAGTCTTCTGAATAGCTTTTCTTGTTTATCTCGTATCTAATCCTGCTGTGAAATCTAATCGTTTCATGTCAGTTTCCGCCCTTCTTTACTGTACCTTATCATTTTGTTTCATCACCATCTCAGAGGGTGTTTTCATGACAGAAAAGAATCTTATGAACTGACTCTCTCATTGTTTTCTGTTGTCTGAAGGAGTGATTGAGTACTTGCCTTGGTGAGGGCGGCCACTCTCTGGGCCAGTTCAGCCTCCACCTCGGGTAAAGTCTCCGCCTTCCTCATAGTCTGCTGCAGACGCTGTTCTGCCAACTCCAGCAATTCCTGGAGGTGACGTACCTTCTCCTCACTCTGATAAAAAAAAAGACAGGCGCACGCAAACCGCACGAAAATAAGACAAACAGAGGGTGTTCACTCATGTAGACACCCATTTTAGACATATTGAGATATTATACACCTAACATATGCATTCACACACACAAAGATATTAAGTCCACACAAGGGTACTCACGACATTCACATAAACGAAAAACACACCATACATACGAAAAGGAAGCACACATACAACATAAAATAAATAAGTGCACATAAAAACAAACCACCAGTGTACGTATATACACAACACACACAAAATAAAAAGACATGATAAAAGTATCCAAATCAAAATTTGGATTATACACCACAGATCAAAACTTTGAGGTAAGATTTTAAAATGTTTTTGAAAAGAAATTTCTTATGCTCACCAAGGCTGCATTTAGTTGATCAAAAATACAGTAAAACAGTAATATCGTTAAATATGGTTAGAATTGAAAAAAAATGTTTTCAATTTTTTAATATTTTTAAAAAATGTAATTTATTCCTATGATGGCAAAGCTGAATTTTCAGCATCATTACTCCAGTCTTCAGTGTCACATTATTCTTCAGAAATCGTTCTAATATGCTGTTGCTTATTATTACCATAACTAATATATTTAGAAAATAGAAAAATTATATAAAGATAAATAGAAAGTTCCAAAGAACAGCATTTATTTAAAAAAGAAAAATCCTGCAGCTTTATGAATGACTTTACTGTAGCTTTTGATCTATTTAATGCATCCATGCTTAATAAAAGTATTAAAATCTTACTGACCCCAAACCTTTGAATGTATTGTACATCAATGTAAAGTAATGCAGTATTAAACAGGGTTAATATTCAACGTTTTAATGGGTCTGCCCACTCTCCCCTGGGCCCAACAAATAACGTTGCTGGAAGTCTCGGCTGACGAGTGCAAAATCACAAACTTATGCTGTCTAAATAAGAGCAGATGTCTTGATTTATCTCTCTCTTTTGAGATATTTATACCCACTGCATTCAAAACAAACACTGTCCAAACTGGCACCAACATCAATGCAGTTGGGAATCCTCTTTCTTTCTCCAGATGATGGATCTGGATATTAGAACAGTCGGGTGGTACCTGCTTCCTCCCAGCATGCCTCTTCTCAGCATGTTGTAGGATTCTAACATGAGTCTGCCGCTGTAGGGCTAATTAAACCCCTTCTGACATACACACACCCACCCTTTATACGCACATGCACAGATGGAACATGACTCTCATAACATCTCAACTAAATTATGGGACATCAACCAGCACTAACTTGAGACGTTCATTTGAAATGATCTTCAAATCAGCCGAGGTCTGATTCAAGGTTGACGTACCTGTCGGTAAAGTGAGTCCTTGGTGGCCAATTCATTCTCTAGCTTGTCATTCAGGTCATGGATTGAGGTGGTTTCTCTCTGGGCGGCCAGATAACGCTTTTCTAAAGTTGTGATTCGCTCCTCCATGTCCTCCTTCTGTGCCATCGCCTGTCGAACAGGCACATAGTAAGAGAAAACAAAAACCCTTGGGAAGTTTGAAAACCTTTAATAGACTACTACAACATTTGGGAAGGATTTGTTAAAACCATGAAATGGTGCTTAAAGTCAGCATGAAATAGAAATGTATTTAGTCAGCTTAAACCACGCCACTTCGATTCAGTCAACTTCCAACAAAATAGAACAAAGTCTGAAAACTGTATTTTCCACACAATAATGCGCACCGGATTATAAGGTGCACCTTCAATGAATGACCTATTTTTGAACATTTTTCATATATTGGGCACACCGTATTATAAGGCGCATATGATGCAGTCAAACATTTGACTGGGTTTGTGTTATGCATCCACTAGATGTGCTAAAGGGAATGTAGCGAGTGCCGGAGGTGAGGCGTTTATTAGTAAGCGTGAGCACCACGTAACTTACATTCGCAGCCTGACTCATATGAGTATTCATGTGCGGCGGCTCGCTGACAGCAACAGCTGGCTGTTTTGAATGAGACGACCCGGTTACTGTGAACGGGGAGCGCTTTATGAACATTCTGTGACATGCGTGCAGCGCCGGGAACAGTCTGTGTGTTAGTAAGAGTGAGAGCTTGTGAGCGGGCACGTGACTTAAACGCATAACCTGATATATACGAGGTTGAACTGGTTGTGCGACAGAGCGGGCATAAGATGGACACGTGCGCGAGTTTGTGGGCGAATTTAATAACGCAGAGCCCTATTAACCAATAGATCCATATATAAGGTGCTCCGGATTATAAGGCACACTAAATTTTTTTTTGATAAAATTAAAGGCTTTTAAGTGAGCCTTATAGTGCGGAAAATACGGTAAATTTTTCGCTTGGATGCGTCACAATGTCTGTCGACAGTTCTGATACATTGTGACTTTACTAGAAATATTTACAGTCATTATAAAAAGGTATTTTTAAATTTAAATTCTGTCACTATTTACTTACCCTTTTTTAATTCCAAACCAATATGACTTTCTTTTTTTGGTGGTAAACATAACAATTCAAGCTACTTTTACGCAACGAGAATCTTTAAGCTATCTTTAAGCAAAAAACACCATCAAAGTATCATAAAATTAATCTATGTGCACTATATTCTTTGTCATAGTTTTACTTAAAGAACAAGCCATTATAAGCCATTATTCACTGAAAAGCATCACTTTCGCTGTAGCTTTGAAATATCATTCAGGTTCTTGTCACATTTAGTTACAAGACGCAAAAACGTTTGTTTGTTGCTGATGTCAAACCTGTAGTGACATTATGTGAATATGCTTAAAATGTATGGAAAAGAACAACATGATATTTAGATAAATATAATCTGTTTTCCACAAAAACGTGATACTGGTTTGCAAAGTAAATACCTTACTGCTGTTAAAATACCCTAACTTTAGATCTTGTCAAGGAATGAGTCACAAATGCATTTTTTTAACCTTCTGTCTCTCAGTGAAAATAAAGCAGATCTGAGAAAATGTCCTTGCTGCCTGACACTGTATCTTCCCCGAGACGAGCTCGTGTCGGTCTGTCCCCATTCTGTTCCTTTCCTCTCCCCCCAATCATTCTAACCTCGCGTATGTCCCTCTGGTGTTTAGTGCTCAGCTCTTCGCTCTTCAGTAAGTCTTTGCGGGCGGTAGCCAGTTCCGTCTCAAGCTCGGACATGTGATTGGTCAGGCCGCTGATCCGGTCTCTGTGTTGGGCCAGCTCCTTATTGGCCTTATCCAGCAGTTCCTGCAGCTCCAGACACCTGCTGGTGTCGTCGTGCACATCGATGGAGCCATTGGGAAGCCTCTGTCACAAACACAAAGAAATGTTAGAGATACAATGGATGGATAGTTGAGAACTTGTTTAGCGGTCCCCTGATTTCCACTCAGGGTCCTAAATAAGCTTCTAAATAAGAAAAATATGCTGAGTCAGAGTCTGAAAAACACGGTCAGCAAGTTAAGCAGCTTCATTGCAATTATGGCCTCAGGAGTTCAGAGGTTCTCTCGCATGCATCACATTGTGACCGTGCATTTCACCCATCTCATTTAAAAAGCTGAGCAAATTAAAACCTCCAGATTTGTCATTTTGACAACCCTGAAACTCAGGGTTCCTCAGCACATTATTGGGAACAAAAATAGGACCTAGGCGAGATGCATATCTTTGCCGCCTAAATGACCTGCTTTATCAAAACAGAAATGTCCAATTCGTGGCTGACATAAGAATTCCAATGAGGCATATTTAATGAGGACACTTTTACATGGCTGACTAAAGTGAGTGGAGTTTGCTTCACTGATATGCTTGGCTCTATATCACTGCAGGAAAGCTGAGACAGGGACTTTAAAAGAGCTCCGTCTAAAGTGTTTTTGCACATATGTGTTTGTGGATGTCAATAATGCTGATTGGCAGATAAGTTGATGTGCTTCTCGGCCTTAAATTGAATTACATGCTGTTAATTAAATAATTCTTCAGAGAGAGCTCCAGATTCAGAAGCGCAGCAGGTAGTCTGGCAGCCAACTAATTCACAAATTTTTCTTGTCTCTTCCATCTCTATGACATTTAAGCCTTATATTTACATTTGCAATAACTCAATATATTAATTTAATACATTTCCACTAAAATCATTTAATAGTCCTACTTTCTGAACAGAACAGGCACTTGAACTATGTTTGATTTTATCGAAACAATTCACTTTGTGTATTACCTTTAGCTATAAAACAAGAGATTTTATGCGATGGCATCAACATTTTGCGTTCCTTTTTAAACAGCTTTATGTTTTCATTTCATAAGCATTGTTTTAACCTTGTCACAAACTATTAAACATAAAATGTGAAAATGTCATAAAAATATATATTTTTTATAACTATAATGATCCAATCAAAAAGTGAATAATATTATATAGTTTTTCAACCATGACCAAAAATGTTATATATAATAAAGCTTTCTCAGAATAATAAGGGAAAAAAGTATGTTTTTGAAATTATTATATTTATTTGGGACATAAATTACTACAGTAGCTATGAAATTAGCACTTTGTGAATACCGGAGTTTTATTAGGGGGAACAAAAACTATGAAAATATCATTCTCACCACTGATATTTCTATTAAAGAATGCTATTAAACACAATACATAATTAGAAATGTGTTGAAATGACAAATCATGAAAATGATTCATGATGTGTCTCAATGTGACAAAAAAAAAAAAAAAAACTATGACTTTATTAGAAATTTTGTGGAAACCCTCGCCGTCACTCTACTGGGAGTCTGCTGAGAAACCCACGTCGGCCTCTAACAATATTTTGATGAACCATGAACCCCAGGGACTATCAGCCATATTTCTGCCCTCCAGGGAGGCTTCAGCCAGCTCTCCAGAGACATAAAGTCTGGACCATGTCTGCCGTGTCTGGGAATATACTTCTCTCTCTGCTTTCATCCTCTCCATCCAGCTCCATATGATTCATCCTTTCTAATCACAAATTCAGATTTAAATATACAATTTACTGAAATGTCCGATTTTCTGCAAAAATTCAATAAAGGTATGTTTGGAAAAAGCCTGCAGGCCTCTCATCTTCCCCTGAAGGTGTAATATTATGGAGCATAACCTTTAAGTGCAAAATACTCCCAGAGGAAACCTGCCAGAACATGTTTTGATCTTGTTCTATTAAAAATAAATTTATATAAATTATACCCATAACATCAGAGTGATTAGAGCACAAAAAGGAGAGCTTCCTCAGTCCACATTTTCTTAGTCTGACTACTTAAAAACCTGACAGTGATGATCTAAAATAAGCACTGAGGAGCCAGACCGTGACACCTGGAGGAGCTCCACTGATAAATGGCAAAAGTAGAGAACTTAAAGAGCTTCAATTCACACAGAGACTGGTAAAGAGACAGTGAATCACACACTGTGAGGTATCAAACAGTCAGCATGGCAGTATTCGTCCTCATTAGGAGTGGTAACATTTCAGTTACCTTTTCAGAGTCAGAAACTTTTCAGAAAAATGCTGACACAGAACATTGGCAATCAACAAAAGTTGAGAAAATGACATTAAATTAGCTCCTTAAAAAAACCTATGAAATCAAAATAGGAGTTTTATGACTGAGTTTATGTGCCAGATACACTAACAGCTTGCACCAGCGCAAACCCTCTTTTGGTGTAAAAAAAAAAAAAAAAAAAAAACTACTGTCAGTATTTACTAAAGACAAATATTAGCACTGAAAAGATGTGGACGCAGTTATTGCATACGCATTTGTAAGATTTTCCCTGCCAGACAGCAACACCTATCGAGGAGAGTATTTAAATGAACCATGCAAGGTGATTTACTAAGGTTTGCACTAGTCAATTTACTGTTTTTTGCACCATTGTTTACCAAAAATCAATTCAATCAATTCGCGATGGACAAAATAAAGTCCTGTCCTTCATTTTTTTGTTCGAGAAGCTCTTTCACTTGGATATACTGTTCGTCACAATAGAGTGCCGAAGTTACGACGTCACTCTGTAGGCCGAAGTTAGCATTTGTATGTGAGTTAGCATTTTAGCACTCCCGGTTCCCTCGCTCTAAAGTCTATGGGATTTTTGAATGGGTTTTTGCTAAATCGCCTGAAATAAGGTCTGTGGTGAACAAAGCTTCTAGATAATTTCACGTTTTGATCTATGACATAGAACACACAGTCAAAACCTGCTTGTGTTTTTTTTAAAGTTTATTGTGTCTACTTTAGATATAAACTTTATATAGGCTTCAAAATTTATAAATTTTGGGTTAACTTGTAAAGATTATCTTATAGACAAAACGTGTAAGGGTCACAGGTCTTTGTTAAACACAGATCTTATTTTTTTGCGATTTTCCAAAAGTCTATGGGGAAAATGCATAGCTTTTCGATCGAGGGAACCCATGCGCCGCTAGCTTCCGAGTTGTCCTACAAAGTGACGTCATCACTTCTGCATTCTATACATCGCAATTTACCTTTCATGCCGACTTCAACTATAAAGTACATCAACTGTACATGCTATTGCACTCCTAAAACCTAATATTTAAGTAAATATACACTTTTGAATGTATTGTGTTTGTTTACTTCTTTAAATGTAATACTTTTATACTTTAAACATGCCCTGCCATAACCTCCATTTTTGAAAAAAAATACATCAACATGGAAATATGTGTTTGTGAAGTCTGTTAGTGTACAGTGGGTTGCAATGAAACTAAACATGCATCAGCTCTTTCGTATTGTGATTTAAATGCGATTGTAGGGGATCATCGAAAAATACATTTTCCGATGTGGACGTTGCACTCAAAAAGGAAAGCAGATCCTGCATATGTCACCAGAGAAAAGCCTGAAAAAATTACGAGGTGATTTTTTTTTCTTACGAAACACATACATGAGTCAATAAGATCACGATAAAATCTATAACATTTAGCAAAATAGGGTGAATTTTCATTTCATGCCGACTTTAAAGACAAACCTTTATAATGAAACCACAAGCTGATATCTGCTCCCAAACTAATTTTGCGTACTAATGGACAAATCGATACAGCTGCATTGAAACAAATTTCTTACTACAGAAAAATCAATCAATAGCATTTCAAATACATAAATAAAAGATAAGGTGATATTTAAACAATGAACTACGGGATCAAAGTTGAAGAGCAATTCACAATTCTCCTATTGACCAGACTCCAGTTGGCTGGCTGCTACAAGTGAGTCACGCTCAGAGACAGGATACACTTTAGCAGCCTGTGCTGAAGGTTGAAGGGCAAAAGCACTTGGCGCATAATCAATGTAGTTTGTTTCTCAGTATATAGTGAAGAATATGCCATCTGTGAGAGAGGTATTAGAACAGCAGGGATCCCTTTTGGACCAATGCCTCAGATATAAACAGTTACAAAGTGTATTAATGATTAAACCTATTGGGTCATACTCTATCTTTCAAAAGTCTGGGGCTAGTAAGAGGTTTTAATATTTTTGAAAGTCTCTAATGCTCACCAAGACTACATTTATTTGATCAAGAATACAGTAAAAACAGTAATATTGTGAAAAATATTTTGCAATTTAAAAATTTAATTTCAATTTAATTTATTCCCATGATGGCAAAGCTGAATTTTCAGCATCATTACTCATTAGAAATCATCAGAAATCATTCTAATCATCCGTGTTTGGCACTAAAAGAAGAAATGTCTTATTCTAAATATTAAAACAGTTGTGCCGACCCCAAACTTTTGAAAGTTAGTGTATTTTTTATTTTGGCATGACATTTGTATTGTTTTCTTAGGGATTCTAGGAGGTCAGAATTTACAGAATGAGGTACAGAACGTTCACAGCAAGTTCACTAAAAAAACAGAAAACAGACTCGTAGAGGTGGGGGACTCGAGTCACATGACTTGACTCGAGTCTGACTCGAGTCACAATTTTCAGGACTTGTGACTTGCTTGATTAAAGTACAAAAATGACTTGACTTGACTTTGACTTGAGAACAAGTTACTTGAGACTTGACTTGACTTGAAGTGGAAGACTCGACAATGACTTGAACATATAATAAACAAACAGCAATACAGTTAATTAAAATATATATTATGACGTCAGCATCAATATATCGGCATCTGTGCCTTTACGCTGCTCAATTCAAACCGCGCCAAACGGAAGTTCCGGGAGTCTCACGCATATTGATAGCGTCTCCCTGATGCCCGCAAATGAGTTAAAATCTCCCGGAATCTAGAGCGAGATACTGCGCGTATAACATAGGCTACATAGCGTGCGGCGTGTGCACGGCAGAGATATGGGAAGCCAAACAAACCAAAAGTGGAACGAGACAGCGGGGCTTTACAGAGCTCGTGCCGCGCAGACATGTCATCTGCACGGTTCAATGATCCGAGCCGCGCAGCCGATTCGTCAGCGCAGCGCGGACGTGTTTCCTAGCGACACTCAATAGTCAGCGCTGTACTGACCAATTTAAAGCAACGCAAACCATATGCTACATACTACATGCAAATAAATGTACAATAAAGAAACCCCTCCTTCCTTACAAAGAATTGTTCTCTACTGAAGTTTAGGAGTTAATTATGGAGAATTCCATAATTAAAACAATCATTTGTTAATATTTATGTAAATTTAATATATAATATACATAATATTATTTAATATGTAATATTTATTAAATATAAAATATGTTAATATAACATATTACCATTTTTATTTTATATTTATTTTAAACATATTTTAAATATGTTAATATAACATATATTAACCCCCCCCATATAATTGAGATATACCTCCCTGAAATGAATTCTTGTAGGTTGGGATGTCTGTATATGCAGCATAGATATATACACGGCTGTGCAGCTGCAAATGCGTTTTACATATAGGTTTCAGTAAATCGAGGAAAAGGAGTTTCCGAAGACATTTGTTGGCTATGATAAGAAAAACTACTGAATTAAAAAAAAATTGCATTTTATATTCTCATACATTTCATACATTTTATATTTTACATTTATATAAGATATAAGATATTACATTTTAGATTTCATACATTTTAGACCGTTTCAATTAAATTGAATTAGATTGGATTATACATCTTAGAATCGATACATCTTAGACTCTGAACGTTTTGTGTAAACAACACAATTTTATTTTATTTTCAGATATTAATGTAGCACAGATATGCATATGATTAATATAGCAAATGTAAGATACATAATGTATAAAAGTTCATCTTTTCTGTGCAAAAATAAATATGTATCGAAAAAATTTACCTCTATTTATTTTAGTAGTGTGACTTGACTTTACTTGAAACTTATCAGGACTTGACTTGACTTGCTTAGGGTGAACCCTTGACTTGACTTGACTTGCTTGATTTATCTGAACTGCGACTTGAGACTTGACTCGAGACTTGATGGTTAAGACTTGAGACTTGCTTGGACTTGACCATGTGTGACTTGTCCCCACCTCTGCAGACTCGATTAGCCTGACTTATCGATAAAATCGGAAAACAGCCGAATGCCGTTCATACAGTTCAGTAGTTCGTTCAGGATGTTTTCCAAAGATGGCTCCTGTCTGTATACACAAAGTGAACTGTCTTTATAACGTATCTTCTTATTAAACGGTCTGTACACTTACAAAGTTCTCAATGCTTCGTTTTGCATGTACGGACCCTCATTATGTTACTGTGTTAGTGTGGGGCTATTTTGAGCCTTGTTAGTGGTATAAACTAGCGATTTCTTTTTAATTAGCAAATGCCCCCATTACTAGCGTTATACGCTAACCAGTTTTTAGAGATAAAACTCTTTACATTCAATTATTATGAAAACAAATCTCAGGGAACGGTTGACTGGGTACCAATGTTTTATTAGACCAAAGGTTCATTTTGCGCCGGAGTTCTCCTTTAATGTAGCTTACATATATTTTTTCTTTAAATGTTTCCCCGTACTGTAATTTGACCTTCTGGAAAAAAAAAATCTAAATTCTAAATTCTTGTTAAAAGTATGTAGAAACATGTACTTTAGAATGATTTAGCACAAGTGACTATTTTAAGCACTAACTAAATCAAAATATTGAAATATATGCTAATCCAACTTTAAGCAAACACACACAAACCTTCCAAGTAGGTTTCGAGCTGTCCATCCTGTCCACAGCATCCCCATCTGCTCGTCCATCCTTTCTCTGTCTCAACATGATCACCTAAACAAAAACGCAGCAAAAAAAGTCCCTCTATCAAAGTGTTAAACAAATAACATTCATGTTAAATCCATTAAATGTGGCATACCACATAATTACTGTTCACAAAGCACAGCACAGGCAATGATGCGCTTTTTCCTAATAGTACATTATGAAGATGTACATTTTCAGTGATAGTGGGATTTAATAGTGTTCCTTTTAATAGCATTTGAGCGCTGTTCCTCTCCTCTAAAGGCAGGCTAGGAGTCTTGCGGGAGATAAGATTATACGAACTACTCATTTTTGAGGAATTAACTTATCATTGTGCTTAAAAGCAGCATGTTATTAAGGTATTAATGAAATACTGGTAGGCCATTTGCATTTGAATCCTGCCGTATCAGGACCAGTGAATGTGAAAATTGGAGGAAGACAATTAAAATATGTACACATTCATTTGCATGCCAGTATTTGGATGACGGGATCTGATTTACATATTCGCGAAACTCTCTTTATTACAGCTCGTTTGTATTAGAGTATTAGAGCAGGCTGGCGAGACAAAATCAGCGATACCGCTTCGTTATTATAATACCTCAAAACCAACTACTTTCAACACAGTTACAAAACTGAAGAAAAAACAGAATTACAGACTCTCTTTCCCTAGTATTAGGACTATAAAATCAGGTTTGGGAGAGTGAAATGAAAGAAAGTTTGTGTTCTTAGAGTTTTATGACACAATCTACCACAGTGACCATTAATGGTGAGTAACTAGGTAATAGTAGCACTAGCAATATCTTGTGATGTAGTTCAGTGGTTTTTAATATAGTGTAGCTTTTTCCAAAGAGTAACATGACCAAACGCTTCATCTCTGTTTTAATATTTGAACTGAGGGAAGAGCAATAGTGCAAAAAAGGTAAAACTATCTTGCTGTACAAACCAGCGTGTTAATGATTATGATTCTAAATAAAAATAACAGTTCGCGATATCAAGTAGCATAACAAACAGTTTTTATACAGATAAAATAAACCAAGAAGCCTTAAATGCTCAAATTTAAATGCTCTTATGTAAAAATAAGGTGGGTAGCTTGACTGTAGATTAACTACTTCAAATTATAATTAGCTTGCAGCTTGGGAATTTCAGAGTAGACACCCCAGCACTAGTGATGACCACTTCCCTTGTTCCCTTTGCAGCATTAGGTCCTGTTTGTCAGCATAAAATCTTCCAGTTGGTCTAAATGCAGCATCATGACACCCAGAGGCCACTTCTCATGCCGCCTCTGCAGTGCGGGCTGCAGCCAAAGACTCCTCTTACTCAGCGAGTGATGAAAAAATAGCTTTTTTGTCAGTGTTCTCACATGCTGACTGACCAGTACTAGACAGTTATGAATGATGTGAAGATTCAATGGGGCAGTGTGAAAACTGGAATATTAAGGCAAAGGACATGTACTTAAACATATATTTAAACAAAGGACATGTATTTGACATTTATTATGTATTTAAGGGCTGCCCCCTAACAGTCATCTAAACGTTAGTCGGATAGTCTCAGAAAAAAAAAAAAAAACGGAAAAAAACAAAAACAAACTTTTGGCGCAGTCACACACTACGTGAAGGACTGATTGTTAATGATTGTTCTTTGTGGTAATTACAGTATGTCTGGCAGGAAATCCAAACGTTCGCCTATCATCCATTGACCTCAAATATGGCTTATCATTTGAAACATGCAAGCAGCAATTTTACATGGTCGCTCACTCTAACGTTAACCTAGATAAATATGCGCTATTATTAGGAACATTTCCAAGTGTTTGTGTGAAGTGTGAAAGGTAAAGTATTTACACGCTTACTGCATGACATGGAGGCGCCGGCGGGATCACAGAAACAACTTAAAATACTCTGTAATGTATAAATAGAAGAACACAAACAGGATGCGCTTTCTGCTGTCTTGGTCTCCTGAACTGAAGTGCGTCACAAAAATGAACCGAAACTACTCTAAGTCGTGCATACGCTACTTGCCTCACAGGCATTAGAAATATTAGAAATGTCTCTAAAGACGCAGTGATGTCAAGTCATCATCATCAGCTTCATCTTTACAGCTGACATTGACACAAAAAAATGATAGTTTATTTATAAACAATTCATTCATTTTATTATTCTATTATTCATTTATTATTCATTCATTATTATATTCTTATTAGAATGTCTCCTTGCTATTTTTTTCAGCCATATTCATAATCATTACTTTTGCCGGTGCTTTGTGGCAAGCTTTATGTGTGTGCTTGAGCACGACTATACACACACACACACACATATATATGTATACGTATTTATATTTGTATGTATGTTTATATATTTAATGCTCATTATGGTTTCATTATGTTCTCCTCAGTATATTAAGTAATTAAATTAATATAAACTTGCGATTGAATGTACAACTACAGTACTAGTTGACTAGAAAAATCTTTAGTCAGGGGCAACCCTATACTATTTTAAACTATAGAGCCAGTATAAATTCATCCTACTTAAACTTTAAAATTAACAATAATGAGATGCAAAATGTTCCAAACCCACAAGCCTTTAGATTATCGAACATAAATTAAGATAATACTAAGCTTCGTCCATCATTTTTGTCCATCCACTGAAAGTCTATGACATGTAATCAACATTTCTGATGACACAATTTTAATTTCCGTTGAACTACATTATATGATGGTGACACTGGAAAGTGTTGTTGATGTTTGCATAGTTTGCACAAAGTCTCTAAAGCAGCTGCAGTGAGTTGCTGAAGGCAGTTACTGAAAATAGCATCTACAATATATTCTCAGTGTAAAGGAAGAGAAAGTACTGCTGAAACTAGATAATGGGCATTTTGTGTAAAAAAGAAATATTAAAATGTAAGTTACAAATAATGAGTATAATTGGTTTGTAAAAAAGTATATTTTGTTTTATTTTGCAAATTCACAAATAATAAATTAATGAAAAACATGCATTAACAAATATATATATCACAAAAGAGTGATGTTACAAAGAAACCAATTAGGCCCCATGAATTATAGTAAGCAAAAACCACATTCAATTATTCGTATAAGCTACAAAAACAGAATACATTGAAAATGAAGTGCGGTGAGTAATTGTGTTGTCAATGCCTTTTCTTCTCAGTGTAAATCTATGCTATGTCAAGTGCATTCACTATGCTTGAACTCTCAGTGGCGGTCGCATGAGTTATGGAAACAGACAGCGTGCATTTCCTGCATGGGTTGACAGCACGGGGCAGGTGCTCATTGGACAGATGTTAATGAGATGAGATCAGCAAATCTATACAAGTGTTCATGCATATACCTAAACACACACATGCACAAAAACAACTGTACCTCCTGACTGGCGGCTGCCAGCTGTCCTTCTAATGTAGTTACCCTTTCAAGAGCCACCCGTAACCTTTCACGCACCTGTGCAAATGAAAAACAAAAGAGACTGTACTTGCCAAATTTAAACGAGCCAACAAAGCCCTGTCAGCATCTACTGTATTCCACTTGAACTACCACTAATATTACATGCTCATACGGACTTAATTGAAGAGAATTAAGTCTTGATTTTGTTTTCAGGGTCTACTAGAATAGGTTTTATGCTTGAATGTTCAAAAATATCCCCACCCCCCACATATTTTACATTGTTGTTGCACCTCTCTTCACAGACTGCCAGGAACGCTCTGTTCAGTTCCTGTCTCTAAGGCCTCGTTCAGACTGCCAGTCCAAATCCGATTGTTATGCAAATCCGATCCGATGCAGGTCAGATTTAGATAGGGTGAAAATATGAATTTAAAAAGTCTTACTTTTTCATCCAGGGCCTTATGATGCTCGAAGAGGGATTTCAAAGCCTTGAGAACCTCCACCTCACTGGACACCCCGGATGGCGGAGGAGCCTGCCTCTTCACCACAGTCATCCTCAGCGAACGCTCGTGACGAGACACCAGACACTCCAAGTGCTCCAAAAGAAGCTATACAACAACATAAAGATGCAGAAACACACAAGCACATCCATCGACAAGTCCTGTATCACATAACTTCAGCTGAGCTTGTTCTTTACATGGTTACACTTACAGGAAGAACATTTCTCTTCACACACTGCTACTCGTTAGCTTTGTATAGTAATATGTAACAGCATAATACATTATTAAAATCACACAAAAGTGAAAAAGTTCAAAAGCATGTCATAAGCAAATTTAGCTGGCACTGCGACATTAGATTGTCTGAGTTCATCTGGGGTGCTTATACCCCAAGTCAAAAACCTTGCAAACCGCCCTGAAGGGAATCAGGTGTTGCCTAGAGGCTGACAGAGTCTACAATCAAGTGGGCATCTTTTACATTTTTCATGACATTGTATCAGTATGAATCTGGCAATGGAGATATGCACACTTCCATTTGTCACCAGCATTATCTCAGCAGTGTGAACAGCATCCTCTCCTTGCACAACATCTAGCAGCATTGGTCTAGCTAGAAACATAAAGACCGCCGATTCTGCACAAAATGTGGCAAGTAATTTACATAAGTGAAGCATTTACACTCCTGGGCTTCATGAGTAATTGTACAAAAAATATACATTACATATACATACAACATACAAATAATATATCATTATTTTTGGTTACTTATCATCTATTCATTAATGCTGTTTTTAGAGATACAAAGTACTTTTGAATCCATATACCAAACAATTCCTCAAATAGACCATTAGCTTGCATATGAAATATTATTATTTTTTAATGATACTGTACATTGTATTTATGCTCTAGTACTAGGCCTTCATTTCTGTGTAAATTTCTTCATTTCTGTTTTTTTTTTGACACATGAAGAAAAAATATTTAGGTTTTTTTTTTTTTTTTTTCACATTTCATTCCCATTCATTTCAATGTTCATATTGACCCTGAAGACCAGAAGTGTATTTTTATAAATACATAAATGCGTACTTCCAAAAAAGTGATTTTTTTTTTACATACCTTCAGAACAATCGAATCAAGCCCAGTTTTTTGTGTGTATAGATAGATAATGTATGAAAAGTCACAAAATCTTATTCCTCTGAGATGAAGGGAACCTTTTTTTTTTATTAAGTAAAAGTTGATTGAGGGCTACAAAATGAGTTCTCTAACCATTCAACAGTTTGAGCTCAGAATGATTTTTTTAAGTCTCTTCTGCTCACCAGGGCTGCATTTACTTGTTCAAAAATAGGGTAAAACAGATATATTCTAAAATATTATTAGAATTTGAATTTAGACATTTTAATATATTTAAAAATTTAATTGTTCGAGGCGGAGGTGAATTTTCAGCCTCATTATTCCAGTCTTTAGTGTCACATTATTGAAAATAGAAATTTTGTGTAATATTTTATGTCTTTACTGTCACTTGTGATTAATTTAATGCATCCCTGCTTAATAACAGTTATCATATCTAAATTAATTTCTAATTTAATTTATAGTTTAATAATAAGTTCATTTTTTTAAAGAAATCTTACTCACTGAAAACTTTATCTAAAATAAACTAAAGCTAAAATAAAATAATGGGACAAAACACTTATAGGACAACATGTCCAATATGTTTTCTTGATTATCAAATATAAAAAGTTTTATCTCTAAAAACTGTTTATCTTATAACGCTAGTACTGTATATGGGGCATAGAGCAATGAAAATAAAAATTGCTAGTTAATACCACTAACAAGGTTCAAAATAGCCCAACACTAACACGGTAGCATAATCAGGGTCCCTACATGCAAACCGAAGCATTGAGAATGTTGTAAGTGTACAGACCGTTTAATAAGAAGATATTTTACAAAGACAGATATATAAAGGCAGATTTTTATAAAGACAGATATTTTATAAAGACATTCATTACTCTATGCCCATATTCTAGCGTTATAAGCTAAACAGTTTTTAGAGATAAAACTCTTTATATTCAATAATCATGAAAACAAATCTCAGGGAACGGTTGACTATGTACCAATGTGTAATTAGACCAAAGGTTCATTTTGCGCCGGAGTTCTCCTTTAATACTGGGTAAAACAAAATACTGGGCCTGTACTGTCCAGAATGTACAGTATTTGGGATGTCTGCTTACCCTGGTATTATTCCTCTCTGCTTTAAGCTCCGATATCTCCTCCTCTTTTTCTAGAAGCTGCTCTCGACACAAATTCAGCTCCTTAGTCAGGGTAGCAAACTCCTGTCAGGAGAGAGAGAGAAAGGAGAGAAATTAATTCTTTCATTCGATATAAATAATTCACACCAATATGCTACTGTTACACCAAACTAATACACAACACTCTGGTTTGACATGTCTTTTTTTCATAACTTCCAGGGCTATACATATCTGCTCAAGGAATGATAATAACTCAATAGTCACAAACAGTTCAAATAGTCACATTTCATACTGTATGTTTGTTATTGATCTATCTTTACATCTCCTCCTCAGTCTCCTCCTTTACATGTCTCCTACAATGAAAATAAATGATCATAGCCCATAGAGCTCCAGAGTTAGTAAAGCTTTAAGTCCTGTTCCCACAATTACTGGCCTTTTGTTGACCAGGACCACACATTTTGAACACAGGACCAAACAGATGGACATCACCCATTTTTGTGTGGTGTGAGTAGGACCTTTAGCCAGCAGAAATGCCAAAACACCAGTCACACTTTAATAAACAAAAATCTAATGTTTGTAAGGACTAAATAGGTACTTATGTTTAAAGAGATACTCCACTTTTTTGGAAATAGGCTTTTTTCGAAGCCATTTTTTGTTAATATTTAGAAGAATATCAGTAACCAGACAGATTCTGGTCCCATTGACTTCCATAGTATATATTTTTTTCCTACTATGGAAGTCAATGAGACCAGAAACTGTCTGGTTACTGATATTCTTCTAAATATCAGAAAATCGGCTAAATGGATTTGAAAACGGTAAAACTCAACTGTTTAACTCTGGGAGAGTGGTAAAATGAGCCTATTTCCAAAAATAAGTGGAGTATCCCTTTAAATGTGGGCCCTCAGTTGTATGCATGGTCAAGACATCTTAACCATAACCCTTTCTGCATAGTGCAGTCACATTTAATGTTGCACTGCAAAATTCTGTGGACAAAATTCAGTCAGTTTAATTGGAATCTGCGTGATTGAAAAAAATTTCCCCAGTTATTGGAATAAGTTCAACATTGTCACACTAATCTGCTGTGAATGCACCTATCGTTGGCTTACGTAGTAGATCAAATTAGTTTATTTCAAAAGGGCAAGAGATATATTGTATTTCAGGATTAGTTAATATAACAGAACATCCATTAAACAAAAAGAATGAGACTGATCTACAGTATATCAGGACATCACCCACATTATCCATTACATTCCACTAAGATTTACACTGCATTTCTCATGAAGGCAGCGACATTCTGATTTGGGCTCTGCCTGTCAGTCCCGCTGGCATCAGGGCTGCAGTATTGCATGGCTCAATTGCTCTGTTCTGCGAAGAGCCCTGGCCAAGCCTCTGGCACTAGGCCCAGTTAACCCAGCTGTTACTCGTGGTCTTTTGGGAAACTTTCAGGGCACTGTTGAAGCATGTCAATACCCCCTCCTGTTTCGGCATGCATGCATTCATACGCTCTTTAATTCAAGTGCACAAAATACTAGGGGGCTGAAAAAAACGGTCACATGGATTTTCCACAGATGGTGAAATGGACAGGAGAAACTGTCATCCTTGCTGAGCGGCAACAGGGGGATACGAAATTATTTTGCTTTGGAGAAGCACTAACAATCCTAGCGTGTGTGCGGAAGGGTTTGAATCCTATAATGTGTTAAAATAATATCAAAAGACATCAAAAAATTGCACCACTCAGGATCATGTGATCAAAAAAAAAAACTTTCTTAGAAGATAGTTCACCCAAAAATGAAAATTCTAACATGATTTAAAGACCTCTATTACCCTGACTTCGTCATACCGCTCTGATACCGTCTGATACCGCTCCGTTGGGCTTTGATTATGAGGCGTGTCTTAACCGAACCAGGAAAAAAAAACAACCTCTGCACTCAATTGGATAGTCGGTAAACCTACAACCAATCAGAGCAACGCAGTAAGTCAACTCCTTTGCATAGCGTAGTTTTCAACAACAGAACTTACTTATTTTAGCTTAGAAGTTAAATAACGATTGTTGCTTCTTTTACTTACTTCTCAATGAGTGCGACCAAAGGAGAAACCACAACGACCACAGGCTTTTCATTATGTCCCATATTCTTAGCGACCGTCAGAGCCAGCTGATAAGTTACACTTTTCCCGAATCATGTTGGAAGGATGCCAAAAATATCTTTCCAATCGACAAATGCCTTGATTGCAGTTCTATGTTTGTCTATTAAAATTAATGCACTGTCGATTTATTTTACAACAGACACGACAGCGGAATCTATACATCTCAATTCTCCAGCTGCAGTCATCTTTGACAAGCGCTCTTTGATAACTTGATGATTACGTCCCTTTCAGATCACCTATCCATCATCGTATAAAGCCCGCCCTGGCAATTTGATTGGCCCGTTCATTTCTTGCCTGATCATAATTACTCCTCAATGGATCGAGTCCAGACCGAACTTCCCGACCAAAAAATGTTGTGGGTGGAGTTTGGGCTGGCATCCAGGCTAGACCTCTATGTATGTTCTTTCTTCGGTGGAACATGAAAGAAAATATTTTCAAGAATATTTTTTGCACATACACTAGAAGTCAATAGTGGTGTTGATTTGGACATTGACTTTCGTTATGTAGGCAAAAACAGTTGAAACATTTATTAAAATACCTTCTATGGTGTTCCAGAACAAAGAATAAAGAAAGGCATACAGGTTTTGAACGACATGAGGGTGAGAATGAAGGATGAAGTCAAGACTTTTATTTTTGGGTGAACTACCATGGAAGTTTCTTTTCTGCGAGCTGACTCTTGATTCCTGCTAATGAAGTGATGACCACACTGACAATCGCTGTATTCAAATATGCGTACTTCCATACAATAGTAGGTGAAACACAGTATGTTTGATTTCATAGTATTTATAAAACGGTAGACAAAAATTAACCGGATGACCTACTTCTTCCAAGCAAGATTCTGAAGTGTGTATTAAATGGACACTTGACTATTCCATGAGGCCACAGGAGAGGATTTGTGAATGGACGAAATGCGAGTGAAACGGAGCAACTGCCGTATGTCATGAGACAATGACACGTCCAAATTTCCTTCATACTATATACAACATACGTTTAATGGTTTTTCAAACCAAATGTCATACGTTAGCGCTTTTGGAAGCAGCAAATGAGTTTTTATCAAGTTAACACACTGTATTCAGGCTATTGGGTCAGCTAAGATTGCCATGCTTAATGATTACTTTCAAGGCCACACATTGTGTTAGTGTGCTGTTTTTCTGCTTTTTGAATAATGCTGCCTGACTGAAATACAGGGGCAGAAATGACTGGGTGGGGGAAGAGAAAAAGGAAAATGGGTCAGTGCGTTCATTTGATTTTTTTTTCACATGAGTGAAGGAATAGGCAGGAAGCACGTTCAAATCCACAAACAGATGTTGGATCTTCCCGCCTCTTCCAATCACTGAAACGGCCTCTGAAACAGTCAAGCATTTCTCTGATTATAGGAATGGGTGAAAGACACTAAAAACACATTGTATCAAAGAAAGCAATTCTATTTCAATGGGTCACGACTCCTCGATAAATGCTTGAGAATAAACAAAGGAATTGAAAACAAGCATTTGGGGTTTGTCATCAGAGATTGCTGTTTCAGTGCTCAATTCAAAAAGGGAAATTGCAACTCCAGAACTATAGAAGTAACACAAGAGGATTTTCTGTGCTGAGGTTTTGCATTTGAAGCCCTGGATTATATTTGTATTGTGACCTGTGAGCGTGAAAACCTGAAATCCCCCCAGTTAGTAGTCGACTTACTTTCTCGTCTAAAGAATGTGGTTCTGCTTAAAAGTGGTTGCTATAAAACTTTTCAGCTCTTGAAGTTAACCCAACAACTATTATTGCTATAAATGAGTCTTTACAAAAATAATATTTCAAACTCCAATTGATCCAAAAATGTCCACATAATATCAATAAATGGTCAGTATAAAAAAAAAAAGATATACTTTAAAATGAAATCATTGCAGTTAAAAATGATGATTTTAATTTGTAAGTATTGCATTTAATGAAGTCACTGAATTCAGCATGAGCATGGATAACAGATATGGACCATATTGACCACCACAATCATATGGTACCATTATACTATGCAATATATGCAGCCTCATTGCCATTCACACTTCAAGCTCTAGTGGTGTTAAACACTTGCAAAAGCTGTGATATCCCATTCATAAGCACATAACTCCTCAGGTGAATACTATATGAAAAGCAAATCAGTCCAACTGAGATATAATTCATAAGCTGAGCCTCTGAGAACACTTTCTTCATTTATGCGTCAATGTACCACAGTTAACTTTTCTGTGTGTTCTAAAACTATTTTCTCAGCAGAGGAATAAGGCTGACATAATTACCATTTTGGCACCGAAAAAAATGGCACCACAGGAAAGGAACACTGCTGTTACAGGTCATCGTATGGACATCAATCATGTAAAAACAGTAAACGTATAGTTTTGTGTTTTCATGAGGTGATAACATATGAGGTGTGAGTGCTTTTTGTCTCATGTGAACACGTTTAATGCCTATTAGCTCTTAAAAAAAACTGAATCCAAACTTTCTGTAATTTTTGATGGCTATAAAACATCACCATCCTCAATTATTTAAAACATTTCTATGGCAAAAATACTCTTTCAAATCAGGACAATGTTTTGCATGGCAGCTAAACTCACTAAGGAGTTTCTAAAATGTCAAATACTGCAGCAGTACCAATAAAAGAGGTAAAAATCCACAACATGTCAGCCAGCATTGTGACCTTGTGAGACGGTTGTCAGCAGGTGAGCAGTATTGAGCTCAGACAGCTCCAGGGATTTCTCTGTTTGGTTGGTAAAAGCCTTGGGATTAAGGAAAGGAAGGAATGTTGCCAAATACAGCAGCGTTTCTGAGCACAGGATTAAGTCATTCTGAAGCCCACATTACTACAACACTCACACACACATTGTAGAGGCTATTCAATATGCTACAAATAGTATACAACAGTATAGTATTTAACAGTATTGTTCATTTGACACCTGACATGGTTA